TCTTCTTCTTATCATAGCATACCAACCAGCGAACACCCAGCCAAGTTTAGTTAGCCAGTTTGAGTATTCGTTACATCTAAGGCCTCGGTCTACTCGTTCGAGTTTTCGGCCTATATAATCGATTTAATTAAATTATATATCTAATTAAGCGATCAACGATAATTAGAAGGTTCTTTTAATTAGAATAACTTAGATTAAAACCTTATTAGTTAAAATAAATAAATATAATTATACGATTCTATTAAGTTAAGTAATAGATCTAACTAAGTAAGTAATACTCGAGTAGTTATATAAAATATAAGTAATTAATCTATAAAGAAATCTAATTTCTATTCTTTTAGGTTATATGTTCCCTTTATTCCCCTGTCTCTCTCTCCCTATATTATACTATAATTAGCTTAATTTTAATTAGCTAGAATAGGCTTTACTAGGGCCTAGAAAATCTACCTCCTTTGTACGAAATAGCCTTTAGCTTACTAGGGAAGGGGGAATAGTATTAGCTTCGAGGTGGGGGTACTCGGCTAAGTCTAAGTAGATAGAGCGGCTATCCGAAGTCCGGCGGGCATCGGGCCGACAATACTCTAGTTACTCTTGAGTGAACCGAGTACAAGTACTCCGGGAGATAAGTTAAATAGCGATCTTCACTACTCAAGTCAAGTCGGCTAGATGCCGTCTTAAATTCGAGAAGTATAGTAGGGATAATGTTTTAACCGAGATATCTCCAGACAATCCCTATATCACTTGAATAACCCCCAACAATCTCTTACCACTTTTTGCTTACTGATAAAAAGGACGAATGCGGGAGCGACAAGGAGCATACGATACCAGATCAGTATTGAAACTTGAAAGTAGGAATCGTCTTGTCGACTTCCACGCAACTGCACAGCTTAAAAGAGGGGTTTAAAATGGGGAATGCGGCGAAATCACCCCGCCCGCTCGGGGGAACTTTTCAATTACCTAGGTAGGTACCAAGTTACCAAGTTACCAGCGTATATAACCCATTCTCTTTTTCATACGAGTACATCTCATCTCTAATCCTCATCCCCATCTCAAACCCACCTCCACAAACCCTCCCAAGAAACCAAATCAACACCACAAACCAACACCCAAAAAATGTCTCCCACACCCCCACCTCCACCCTTCCTATACCACATCACAGCCAACACCCCCGACGGGAGCAAATCCACCTTCCTCGACACCTCGGGCCCTCCATGCGTGCAAGAACGGCCCTTCGGAAACATTACATACCTCTACTCCACCCCGCCCTCCTTCTCCATCAAGGATAATACCGATCTGAAATTCCATGAATCAGCGCCTTCCACCGCACCGTATAGGAGTTTTCAACCCGCTGGAGGCTCAGTCGTATGATACCCCCTCCCTCCCCCTGAAATTGCACATCAAAATCCGTGTTATAAAAACCCCACCTCTAAACCACCAATCCCCTCCCTTAAAATCGTGGATCTCAAAAAACCACAAATTAACACCACACAAGGCCGTAACAATATCCTTCGCCCCGAACCCCTCCAAAGAACTGGGGTACATGCACCGCAGCAACACGCTCGATTTCCTCTCCGTGCTCTGCGGCGAGGTCGAGCTCCTGCTGAATAGCGGCGAGCGTCGCGTGCTAAAGCAGGGGGAAGTGTGTTTTCAACGCGGGAGTTGGCATGCGTGGAGGAATGTGAGTGCGACTGAGTGGGCGAGGATGTCGTGTGTTGCGCTTAGTGCGGAGGGTGCGGTGGAGGGGGAGGGGGCTGTTGAGTTGGCTGCTTAGGGGGGGTGTGATGTGGTGGTAAGATGTGGAGGGATAGTTGTATTCAGNCGCTTAGTGCGGAGGGTGCGGTGGAGGGGGAGGGGGCTGTTGAGTTGGCTGCTTAGGGGGGGTGTGATGTGGTGGTAAGATGTGGAGGGATAGTTGTATTCAGGATTTTGGCTTGGAGGGAGGAGGGTGGTAAGAGGCGGGCTATGGTTTACAAGTCATATATTGAAGACTCAACTGAAGATTCATATCATAACGTCCGCTTCCGTATTAGGTAATCAACGAGTCGAAGTATTCTCCACACTGTACAATACATCAATTCGCAATCCAATCCAATCTCAATAACCGCATTCTAGCAGCCTGCCTCTCGTAATATACAGCCTGAAAAATGAATCGCCACTGACTAGTAAAACTTACGACTCCAGTATAATTATTCAAGTTTAGTCAATTCTAGAATAATACTCATACCTTACTTACTTACTTACTTACGCTACACGTGACCTTCCACTTCCTAAGTTCCTAACATACGAATAGTAAGAGAGCCAGACCAGGGTCCTAGTACTAATAACAGATAACATAAGACAAGAATATAATCCAGTACATTTCAGTCAAAAAGGAGGACTAGATAGTAGGTAGTACTTATAAAAATAAGTTCGTACGATTATTATTTATCTCTAGCTAAATAGTTTCCTAGTAAATCGAAGCTTTATTACTAGACTATATATACAATAAACATTATATTACTATTACCTACTATTTTACTATTTGTTTGATATCTAAGAGATATAGTTATTATTCTATAGCTATATACCTCTCTTAGAATAAAATTAATCCAAAAGCGTCGTATAGTTTAACTAAAATAGTTATATAAAGAGCTTAAATAATTAATAACTCTTATTTTTCACTAACCTAGGTATCTTAAGATATTTATTTTACTTATACTAAAGTTTAGGATAATAGAGTTTTATATAGTATATATAGAGTTATAACTAGGTATCTTATAAAAAGAAGAGATTAAGACGAAGCGAAGACTCTTGGAAGAATGAGAGATAGTGACTATTAGATAAACAGTTATACTACCAAGAAACATAATATAACACCCGGGTACCTTCAAAGTGAGACATGCGAAGCTTTTTTCTCATTATGTCATCAGACTCATCAAGGTCATCAAACTCATCAAGCTCATCAAACCAAATTCCCAAAACCCCAACCGAGAATAACTCGTGCATCACTCGCCAATCACATACGTACAACCTTCCGGACCAATCCAAACTTCATGAACCCTTCCCGCCTCGACATCAATCCGATCCCCAACGCCATATGTCTTCTTCTCAGCGCTTTTCTCCTTGGGGTAGGTGATGGTCAACTGGCCCTTGGTGATCAAGTGCGTTGTCAATCCTTCATGGGAGTGTGGGCTGTAATGGTAGTTTCTGTGTGGCGATGCCCGCCTGTCAGCCTGGGTGGGGAGAGGCGAGGCGTAGCTGAGGGGTCTGTATATGGTCACCACTTATGGACCGTCAGTCCAGGTGAAGACGTGGGAGAATCCCCATGCCTTGACTTCTTTTTCGGGTTTATTTGGGTTTGTGCTCATGGTTTGTGAATAGTAGGAGTGTCTCTGTCTCTGTGTGTTCTGTGAAGCTTGGGTCGGGAGAAGCTATTTGCGTGCTATCTTCCAAGATTCTATTGATCCCGGAAATCCTTCTGCCCCGCCCGATCCAGCTTGGCGCCGGGATCTCCTTAAAGTCCCGGAACCTCGAAACTTTCGTTGCCATACTCGATATACTCCGTACAAAAAGCAAAGAAAAGACTCGGGTTTGTCTGCTACAACACTTCTCACATTACTGAAAATAGATTCCTCCAGCGATATCAGTTCATGATTGATCACGTGGTATCGGGCTGTGCAGGTACGGCCTGGCCTAGGTGCTTCTGTACTCCGTCGGTTCATCACCAAATTACCGCCCACTGCATTTGGCCCCCAAAATGAGGTCTCCGTTTGTGTATGTGCACCGATCAGCAAGCACTTAACCAAGCCTTGGTCTTCAGCTCGCTGTGATAAATATAACCCATTTGTCTTTCTCAACTGTCACCATCGTCAATCCCCTATATAATCATCACTCTCACGATAGCCTCACTTCTCTCTACCTTTCCCGGTGGTTCGTCGTCCGGTCCACTGATCTTCGTTCATGGTTCCTCAATGAGTTGGGCAGAGGTATGCGACCCTCCTCTTCCCTGTTTTCTTTTGCCAGTGAGACGTCAGTGCAGCCTGAACCTTCATTCCCAACTCTCTCACACTCCAACCACTCCCACCGCTGCCATCAGATTCGGGTCTGAGTGGTGGTGTATGAGAGTGTGTGAGAGTTGGAGATTCAGCGACTTGATGAGATGAAGCATTCACGGACCCGCCTATTGGCGTTTCTGCCATGCTTGATTGTCGTGCCCAGTGAATAGTTCCGAATAATGTGGGTGGGCTCACTGACCATGTCCCAGTCGTTGAGACTCCATATCAAGGACCATGCCTCCCGGACTTCTCGTGCCTACGGGCAAACACTTTCCAATACACAAACTGATGGCCATGTCGACCATGATGTCTCCTCATCACAGTGCTCATATCCGTCCTCTCGTCCAAGCCGGAGGAGGTGATGCCATATCAGATGTTCCCCTCCACCAACTATTCTTGTCCCACGATGTGCAGGAACGTTTACGAAGAGTCTACGATGCAGTGCGGGGCAAGGACAAGAATCTCTCGCGGGAGAAGTTTGTAGCATGGCTTGCAGCGGTCCAACAACACGAAATAAATTCTTTGGACGAGGAATATACTTTTCAACAGTTTCTGGAAACTGTTTACTACAGCTGGGGATTCGAAGCTTTGACGAAACCCCCAAAGCTGGAGGATAAAGATCTCTCACGACCTATCAGTAATTACTATATCAGTAGCAGTCACAACACATATCTCATGGGAAATCAGCTATCCTCCAAAAGCTCCACAGAAGCATACAGGAATGTCAGTTTCCCACACAACCTCCATCATCTCCCAATACTGACAGATGATCTTCATAGGTCCTCATACGCGGATGCCGATGTATAGAAATCGATGTCCATAATGGCCAACCTCCCGAACCTAAATCTCCCGAATCCGATCGCTCCCAAGTCAGCTCTCCTACCAAATTAGAACATAAGCAGCGAAAATCCACAAGCACATGGTCTAGTCGGGCCGCTGCTGCACTGGAGAGGGCCAGCGAAAAATACAAAAACACAAAGAAGAAGCTAAAGAGCGACAAGAAAAAGGCAGAAAAGGAAAAGGAGCCGGGCAAGGAGGATAGTAGTGCATCCTCAAGCTCATCTTTCAGCTCTGAGGAGGAAAAGGAACTCGCAAAGGGTGGAGAAGTAGGTGAAACGGGTCGAGTACCGTCGGGGGACCCAATCAAGACATCCAAGAGTAATGAGAGACCGACTTCTTCAAGGTCCGCAGATCTGAGAAGTGGCGAACCCTTAGTCCTACATGGTTGGACTCTTACAGCCCCTGTTGGATTTCGAGCTGTGTGTAAATCGATTCGTGAGACGGCCTTTCTTACAAGCAACCTCCCCATTATTGTCAGTCTGGAAGTACACGCAGATATGGAGCAGCAGGAACTCATGGTTGACATAATGCTGGAGGAGTGGAAAGGCTTGTTGATAGATGAAGCACACGAGACGTGCGATCCCCGGGAGAGGTTACCACGACTCGATGAATTGATGAACAAGATCCTCATCAAGGTGAAGAAAGGGATTCCAGACAAGCCCGAGGATGCCGTCAAAGGAAGTTCGACACTCTCACCCGCCAGCACCTACAAAGAGGCTGATTTGTCTGGTTCGGATGACGACAAGAGTATTGCGAAGAGGAAGAAGATTTGTGAGAAGCTCAGCAATTTGGGAATCTATACACACAGTGAGCATTTCAGGAGCTTCGATACTTTCTCGGCCAAGAGCCCACCGCACGTCTTTTCCATTGGTGAAAGCCAGATCATGGATCTTCACTCCAACAAGGGGTTGGAAATGTTCCAGCATAACCGTGACTACTTCATGCGGGCGTACCCAGCCGGTTTTCGTATCGACTCATCCAATCTCGATCCGTCCGTATTCTGGCGAAAAGGAATTCAGATGGTAGCATTGAACTGGCAAAAGCTGGATGAGGGTATGATGCTTAATGAGGGAATGTTCGCTGGTGAACACGGTTGGGTGTTGAAGCCTCCGGGATATCGCAGCGACCCAACCGAACCAATTCAATACAAAACACTGGATCTGAATATCACAGTATATGCGGGCCAACACATTCCTCTTCCATCCGGAGAGACGGCAAAAGGTCTCCACCCCTATGTCAAGTGTGAGCTGCACATCGAGAAGCCCGAGGATTCGGATATCAAATCAAAAGACAGGGTTAGCCGAGCAAAGGAGGGTGACTACAAGGAGAAGACCGAGTACAGCAAGGGAGATCATCCGGACTATGGACCAGAAGGCCAGAAAATGACGTTTGAAGGAATTCCTCAGGTGGTAGAGGAGTTGAGTTTTGTGAGGTATGTTGTGAGCTTTCGTTATGTGCGTTGCTTTTTTCCCATATCCAAAAAGCGGTAGCCGATGAGATTGTCTTTCGGCTTGCTGCGTGGTTACACCACAGCAATCTCCTACACCGCCTCGAGAGACCCGCAGACCTGGTTCAGATTCTCGTGGAAACGGGTTCTTTCTTCAACGGATGTGCTGGCGAAGGCGCCGCTGCGCAACGGGCCGCCGGGCGGGTGATTGCTGCGATCAATGCCGTTGTACTACATGCTATCTTACCTCCCCTGACTCGCATTTTACCATGCGAGTGTTCTGCAAGAAAGAAAAATGCACTGTCCTGCAGAGGAAATCTCCTTATGCAATTCTCTTTTCCCATCACATGTCCATCCTGATATGCATCTTCTGTGGTGCTAACCAGAATGCAGATTCAAAGTCGAGGATTCCAAGATCGCCAAGGACGACCTGGTCGCGTGGGCTTGCATACGTTTAGATCGTCTGCAACAAGGATATCGATTTATTCATTTGTTCGATGTGAAAGGGCACGTTACGCCTGGCATGTTGTTTGTGAAGATCGAAAAGAAATTAACGCCCGAGTCTCCGATGACGGCCCTTCCCGTTGCTTCTCGTACTTCTCCTGCCGCAAAGGAGCTTCCTCCGGCGCAAGTACCTGACAAGGTTGCCAATATCGTCGTTCCTGTACCTGCACCAGCTGCTCTTCCTACTCCTCCTGCAGACTCGAGCAAGGTTCAAGAGTCGAAATCAACAGCGGACCAGGTTCAAGAGTCGACATCAACAGCGGGCCAGGTTCCGGAGGAAGTCGAACCTAGCAAAGTAGCCGCAGAGTTAAAAGCTGCACAAGCGGCCAACCAGACGGAAACTACAGCCTCTCCTACGTCTAACGGCCAACTTGACGAAAAATCTACACCAACACAACCGATCACTTCCAATGCCCCTGCACTAGCTGTCGACACTCCTCCAACTCCGGAGCCAACGAAGTGAGGACAGAAAAGTGGCCGCATGGCATGAGAAAATCTCGTACATACATGCCGGAAATTGGAATACTGTCCTCCTGTAAAGGAGAGTGGAATGAGGGTAGAGGTAGAATGCAGAGTATATTCGGAAATATGAAGTTACAGATTTTCATTTGTTTGTTCTCTCTTTTTTTTTTCAAGTTTCTGCAGCGGGCAGCGGATCACGTTTTATCGAAGGATACCAGATACCAGATACCATATCAAATCATCATCTTAACATTGGGCGGCGTTTTCTTTGTTTTTTTGGTCCCTCTTTTTAAGCGTGTACTTGCACTGGGTGGGTGAGGGAAAAACTTTCTGGGAAGGGTATTGTCGCTTGGAGTTTTTTAGATGGGGTGATGTTGTGGGTTGGGTGGGATGTGAGTGGGAAGGGATAGATTGATTGATTGGTAGTTGAATGATATGGAATGAATGATATTGAGTTGCTTGAGTTCAGAATGAAAGTGAGGGTGAATGTGAATGGCATTAGAGGTGAGAGTTTATGAGGAGTGTGGGTGAAGGGGTGGATGTAGGTGAAGGGGTGTACAATGGTTAATTCTATGGCTGTGATATGTGATGTGTAATAGTAATACTCACTAAAGCTACCAACTAGGCTAATAATAAAGAGAATCTTCGTATGCCATTCTCTCTCTCTCTCTGACTGTATATCTATCATGTCTACGATGTGAAATAAGTCGGTAGCTTAGTTTAAGCGTACATTTTGTTGTGGTGTATGGTAAGATTACATGTGGTGTGGTGTAGGGTAGTGTAGTGTATTATTATTATCGTGTAAATGAATGGGCTTTGTAGGTTAGTTAAGCGAGTGCGGTGTTTGTTCGTGGTAAGTGGGCAGGTGGGTGGGTAGATGGGAAGATGGATAGATTAATTTATAAATAGTAGATAATAGGGGGGAAGGGGGTGTATGGCCTTTTTTTAGAAATAAAAAAAAACTTTAGCTTGTTAAGTTGTGATTTCTGTTTTTTTTGTGGTTTTTTGTGGTTTGTGAGGGGGTGGTTTAAGTATAGAAAAGTATAAAAGTCGAATTGTAAATAGTGGATAAATGAATAATAAAGTTTGAGTATGGAGGGATATTATATAAGGATTTAGGAAGGTATGGAAAAATGGGGAAGTGCTAAGATGGTGAAAGTTTTAATAGTAGTGTTTATTAAGTAAAGAAGTAGAAGTATTAAGCTGAGTAAGTCTAATTAGTAAAAGATATGACTAGAATTCGTTAAGCGAAGATCCTAACATCCCGCCACGGTATAAACGATATTTTCATGTAACGTAAGGAAAAGCAACCGATAACCGACAAAAGATAGCGGCGGGGGTAGGAGTCTTAATAACATTATATATCCCGCCCTTCGATCAGGTCCATTTTTCTAGTCTACTTTACTTCTCTTAATTCTATTTACTCTTTTTATAGTGGAATAAGTATTCTGATTCTACTATAATAAAGTGTCGATTGTGATAGCATAAGGGGCGTAGGGAGGAGGAGCGATGGGATTCTTTGGTAAGATATACTTACCTATTGTTTTAGTATTCGAGGCACAATATGATACGCCCTCCCAATCTAAGGAACGCTCCTTGTACTCCTACTACAGTAGTATAGTATAGGTCTAGAAAAAACGCAACCTTTTCCCTCTGTAAAACTGAACAGTACAGAGGACTAAAAAGGAGAAGGAGCGATAGAACACTATACGAACGATACTCTTATAACAACGAACCTCAAACTTTCCCCATCTACTGCATAACTTCACTACAGTAGGCAAGGACGTCTCTCGCCGCTCGGGTATCTTATTGTTCCTACCCACAGGGCTTTTCTTTTCCTACCCTCGTCCTCGTGCTCGGTATATAAATATGTGGAGGAGGAAGAAGATATTTACAGGACAGGCGGTGGATACCTCACTCACTACCACCCTCTACATATATATATATATATATATATGAACCTACCACTCACCTCCTCGCGACTCCATAAGGCTCTTACTGCTATCCTGGGGCTCCAGGTGCTGGTCCCATGTGCCCCCTTTCACTCGTGAATAGAATGGATGTGAATTGAAAAGGGAGTGGAATTAGGGGAGTGGGAGGTGGGTTGTGTAGATGGGGGTTGTTGGGGGATGAGATGGAAGGGGGAGTAATGGGGAGTTGGGATTTGGGGTGTAGTGAGAATAAGGGGAAGGAGTTTGTTGTCCGTCCTACCCCCTATATTCTCGCGTAGGGTTTTTGGTTAAAGAGGGTGAGAGGGGTTACTCGAAATTAAGGAGAGAGTAAAGGGAATTGGAATGCAGAAGTGCGTGAAAGGTTAGGTAGAGGATTTCATCATAGAACCTTTGATGATACAATGGTAGCCCAAGAAAGGTATTGCGGGGAAATTTAAATGCTATTACGTGGATATTTGGGGACGAGAGTCTATTAGTAAATTGTCGTGGTCTCGGCTAATCTATATATTGCCTCCTACGAGTACTCTTAACTCTCTACTCAGGAATCTCGTAGAGTACTACCACTAGACATTAACTGTATAATGCGAAATGAAAATATTGAGATGAGAAGAGAACGAGGAACAAAATCGTAAATCCAAAAGATAGAAAGATCTATATTTGGGACTTCATACATTGTACTCGAGTACTATACAAGACCAAGACCAAGCCACACTCAACGTCACCAAATAACAAACCCCACCAGCCCAGCCTTATCAAACACGACTAAACGACAGAAATACCAACACCCACAAATAAAGAGTCTCGACTCACCACCCAAGAAAAAACTCAAAAGTCAAGAGAGGCTGAGGGGAATCGTGGAGTACATCGTTAAAAGACACCCCGTCCGTGCGCGCGACGAAGTAGCAAAAGATGTGGACAATTCAAAGAAGGTGGACAGTTACAGTAAAACAAAGTGGACAGTTCAAGCCAGACACCCTCCCTGACTATATCAACTCAGCCCCAATATTCAGCCACCCCACAAATCAAAGGACCGGATCTGGGCAATATAGACTTTCCGCACATATGATCTGCGTGCCAGTGTCCAGCTTTAGAAGTAACTAGAGTAGGTGGAAACTGTCCACCTTCTTTATATCATATTCGTAAGGCCCTATCGCACAGACACAAACCCGACGAAAAGCGCGGGGAAAACCAAGATGGGGATCTGCTTCTTTTTTTTGCTTTCCCAAACTCGCTACCGGTAGATGCTGGATTTGGAAGTTGTCCTGTCATTCGAATGTACATCACATCGTGAGGAGTACGAAGAAGCAAAGACCGTTTATTTCGTTCTTTTGAAGGTTGGAAAAAAAAGAAATTTCGAATGAGAGGAATGACGGACCAAGACACGAAGAAAAACGGCACATTCGTTTTTCCAAGTTGGAAAAAGGAAACATGAAACCACGCGACCAACAATTCCATCCAACGAAAGGCCAAGGTAAACAACAAAAGAACGTATCGACGTTTTCATGGCAAAACCTATAAACAATAGCCTTGTACATATTACACCCTACCCCAGGAACCCACCTGCGCGTACGGCATCTTGTCACCCATATCCAGCCCAGCACACACACACACACCTGCCATCCGTTATCCGGTCCGTTCTGCTCATGGATTAGGGTGACATTCGCGGGCTGTCCCGTCAAAGCGGGTGAGGCGGGGTCGACCAAGATTGCCCTTGCAAACAAAGTCAGGGCAGGGCAGATCTGCAAAGCAATCGGGGGCTAAAACTTGGAGTTTGGAAGAGTCGGGGTTTAGGAAAGAAAAGGGAAGGCATGAATGAGATGTATCATTTTTTTTGGCTGGCTCTCTCCTCTCTTTTGGAATTGGAGGGCCCGTTTGGGAGGTGCGGAGACGGGGGTATCCCGGTTTGAGAGTGTGTCGTACGATCTACCCACGAGGAACTCGCGCGTTGGAACTGAAACGATTCTGTTTAGGGGAGTGGAGTGACTGATAATAACAGAGAAGTCATTTTGGATATTTACCTTGTTGGTTACTTCCTAATCAAGCTTTGTTTGCGAATGAAGGTATAGAAAGCTGGAGTATTTGCGGGCCCGTAGGGACTTGGTGACATTTGGTTTCGTACCGAGGTTCAGTGGCTACCCAGAGGCATATGAAGGCAAGGATGAGTATTTCGTCAAGCGTCTTGAGTTTTTCTTGGCTGAGTGAGGAGGATGTACCGTTGAGAAGTTGTCTCGTTCATGAGTCGAGTGATAGAGTAAAATTAGATGTAATGAAAACCAGATGAGAAGAATGACACGACGGTTGGAGAATAGAAAAGAGCTTTGGGAAATGCAAGTTAAGTTATGCTCTTCTCACACATTGTGAAAAGCACAGAACACAAACCCTATCCGAGAACGTAAGTTAGAATAGATGCCGCCATGCTTCTTTGCCAGCCACCCTGTATCCCTCTCCCCGCACTCATGAAAGAATAAAAAAGTGTCAAATAGTGTTACGATTGACGCCGGAAAAGAAATACTATGGTCAAATAAAGAAAAAACGAAAAAGTAAATGTACTGTAACCCTAGTCTCATAGGAAAATAAAGTAAAGTAACGCTCCCAAGTCCTATCTCACGGATGGGTTCCGGGCCATAGAAACGTGTCAACCACTCCATGAGACGTCACTCTTGTATCCCCTGGCCATGCGACTATGGCCTGACTTGAGCGCATCGTAATAGCTACCCAGGATTTTGAGTACGTAAATACCTCAATACAGTATTGAGATGGCGTCCACATGTCAACAAAAGAAACTCACAAGAAAGAGAGCGTTTGTACAATCGCTCGCGACTGCATGTGCAGAACTTCCACCATGCGCTGCAATGCAAACAAATCTTTTGATCTCAAATTAAAACAAAGGGACTTGGATGTAAGCGAGGGCGCTTCCAGCTAACATTGTAGGCTGCAGGATGCAGTGGTGCACAGCATTTGAAGTCAATTAGTGGTTCGTAACCCGAGTACCGAGTGATGAGGGCTAGGAAACTCAGAAAACGAAAACGGCAAAACTAGAGATTTCTAGAAGTGCCATCACTATCGCACAACAGTGCCAGGTTGTTGCATAGCCAAGCCGAGATAGAACTAATACATTAGGGTTATGCACAAAGTAACGTTTAGCTCGCGGACAGTTCTTAAACTGGCTCCGCTGGAGTGGTTGCCACAAAGATAGGCTTTGATTAATGATTGATGATCGAGATCATAAGAACTGCTGGGGGTCAGAATAGACTCCGAGCCCGAGATGGTGCTTCCCAAACCTGGGTACGGTTGTGGCTGCATGCTACCAATCGAGTAATCGAGATCCCAGCCCAAGATCGTGGATCTTGAGAAGTTTGCCCATTTGCCAAATCAACGCCGATGTCGGTAATTCTGCAGAAATGGGTAATATTAGACGCAATGCAGGGAGAATAGTCGGCAGACGCTTGATTGTTATGGTCGTATCGGTATATCGATGCTAGCGGAGATTTCGACAAGTCGTGTTACTCACAACTCTGGTGATTTTTGCTGATGAACGATTGTAATGAGATGCTGGTACTTTTACTGGCTTCAATATCATGTCGGTTCAAAAAAGGCATGCCGTGTTACTCGGACGAGCGGTGAAGTTCGTGCCGAATGGATGGTGCACCCGGCCGAGAACTGGTGGCGTTGACGTTGAGATTGGCTCATTGTGGGAGGCATGCGCATGCACGGCCAAACGGGCAACCAAGAAGTCGTGACATACCAGATCCTCGATCGTGTGAGAACCGACTGACTGGAACCGCATAATATCAGTATCAATTTGAGTCTTTGGAAGATGCAACATCGAGTCGTCTCTCAAGGGTTCATCAGGTGGTTTCCACAGGCTCTTTTCGTTGATTATTCTTTCACTTGCACCAACGACTCGGATATGGCAGCCCCGCTGAAAGTCCCGTGGATAAAGCTGATCTACCTCTGGGGTTTCTTGGGTAAGCCAACCATGTCTTGGACTCGGCATGTTTACCAGGATGTAGTTCCGTGGTTCTGGGTTGGGCTGAGAAATACTCGTATTTTATATCACAAAGTTCATCCTAAACATCTCAGAATCCAACTAGCCTAGCCGGTCTCTTGTGCGGGATACTCGAGTACAGTCGGAGCATACGCGTGGTCCTTTTCAGTGCGGCCCTGCACGCGCATGGAATCTGCCCATATGGTCTCCGGTAAACATTCCGTATAGACCTAGCGAAGTTCGCTGTTTTCTGCAGTCGCATTGCTGAGAGCTCAAATCTGTATGTAGCCGCACTTGACAGCAAAGACGCCACACCTTCCCGAAAGTGGTTGTAAGGTCCCGTACGGCGGAAACGCACTTCGTGCTTTCGAGAACGAAATTGTGTTGCTTGTAACGACAAGTTTAGATCGACGAAATGGTTTCATTTAACGAACCACTTATCTTTGAAATCCTCAGTCAATGCCATGCTAAATCGGACAGGCATCGATGGCCTGACATGTTGACACTAGCAGGGTAAAGGAGACTTTGAGAGCTGAAAACTTAATTGGGTGGAGAATCCGAGATACTGGTCGCAGGTAGTTAGATTCTCCTCAATGTTCTCCTCCACTCCAACATCATCTCCATACTCTGTGCCCCCGCTCCATTTTTCAAGGTTGTATCTGTTTAGAATTCGATGTGCCACACGAAGTATTCTGACAGCTCAGAATTCGCTTACGGCCCTCGCCGCTTGTTCTTCGCAGGTACCCACTGAAATAGGACCGGTGATTTCAGTTTTAGTCTATGTCATCAATTGAGTTTAGTTGATTACCCCATTCCTCTGATTGGGACCACACGACCGTCTGGGCCAATATGCGGGTTCCAGACTTTCGCATGGAAGCTTTCAGTAATGCATGGCTACTCGAATAGCCGTGCTTGTGGGTTTCGTTTGGGAATTGCTCACCTGCATTGCCGTGCTGTTGACGTACAGGGTCCAGTTCAAGTCCACTTTTCTCCTGATCCTCCTTCGTAGCCACGTTTCTGTAGTACGGGGTGACCGACTTAGGGTATAACTGCCAGTGTCGAGCATATTTTCCCGAGAGAGGTCCACATGTAGGTTTGATATTCCGGGATGAAAACCCAATCTTTGGCCGCGTGTATAGCAGCAATCCACGTATCCCTTACGAAGTCTATACCTCTCTAGACGTTGTAGATTTTGTCCAAAGCGGTCAATGAGGTTGAACTCCGCCTTGATTCCAGAGCTCAGCCAAGAAAATGACCCCGCTACCCGGTGAGGGAAACACACATTGCTGTTTTTCGTAATCTTGAAACGAGAGACAATCCAGAGCAAAAGAAAAAGCCATGTCGACACTTTCCCATGTAACCAAGGGTCTTCATACAATCAACTACTAAGTCCGAGTTGGTCAGCCAGCCGAGCAGCCCTGGCAACAGGGAAGAGTGCCATTTTTCTTAATCTAGACTTCCAGCCACCAGGTGTCGTCTCGAAGACGAGAGGTTGATCATCATCCGGTTTGAGAGCGTCGGAAAACTTCTGTATCGTCGGAGAGCTAAAATTCAGAAGCTAATACATCCATGGAAGTTGGGCTTGTCTGCTTATGTCGTGCAAGCCCTACAGGGCGATCTTGACTTGATGAACTAGGGGTCCCGCAGCGCTGGGACTGATGTTCGTGACGCACCTTAACCGCGTCCTGCTTGACCGACGATTCGCGACCTTAACCTTCCTTTGATTCGAATCGGAAGTGTTGAGCTGTGACGTTCCGTTCCGCAACGCCCAGCACCCTTCCGAATTTCACCGTCCCCGCCTATTTCCTTCCACTGGTTGAAGGCAATAGACACCCGGTTTTAAGTAGCATCGAGCCCATATGTGTATGAGCGACTACCCATTACCCGTGGCATTTCCCAAATAGATTTTGCTGCCCCACGTAAAGTTTCATCAAGGGGGCTGCTCAAGAAAAATATTACTGTTAATGACTTATCGGCTTGCCTGCAGATACTATCGTAGGATCCAAGCAAAGAATCGACCTGAATTTGTGCAGATATCCGTGTCGTGCAGCAGAAATCTGCGCAGTTTGTTTTCTTCTGGTGAATCTCGCAAGAAGTGACGCTCTCGTGGTCCCTGGAGCTCCATATTTCTGTCCTGGGGAGAGAGAAAGGGTATGTATAAAAGACCACCTCCAACCTGTCAAAAGCTTCATCTCAAGTCACCAACAGAACATCTTGTTCATTCAACACAAAGTCCTTTACAATCGCTTTGACTTCTTCAACCACTCAGAACTTAATTGAATATCGCAAACATGGTCTGTACTTCAGCGTCTTGCCGAGTTACGGGTCTCAAGACCCTTCAGAACACTTGTCAAGAAACATTGCAAACCACCAACCCAGGTGTCAAGGTTGTACCGGTAGGATAAACCCTTATTGTCCATTGGAAGAAGGATAGTAGCTAACCACCATAGAAGATGCCTGGTGTCAGATGTCCAACTTGTGCTTTCAATGGACAAGAGAGTTGGGTCATTCCCGGACGCCAATGTGGATATTGCGGCACAAATTGTTGAATGAACAGTAATTGGAGAACTTTCCCAACAAAGAAGCAAAGACTAATAAGAAAACAAGACTAATAAGAAAACAAGACAATGACAACAACACCACACTCGAAAACTTGAGAAATCGAAGGACAGCTCAGAAACCACAGAGATATGGTTGATGGGCCTCGCAGCAGGTTGCCAGGGTCGCTGGCGGTGGTGAAACGGGACATCGTTGGATCGCAAACATTTCTTTGTACGACGTTTAATTTTGGAAGGCGTTCCGTGCTCGAAAATTTCATTTCGGCTTTGTGGTTTTTGTTCTGGTATTTGGTCAGCCACAGCTCTTCAAGCCTCCAATACCAAAAATAGAGGGTTTATCAGTTGTATCAAGTTTTCTTTCTTGAGTATGCCGTGCAATGTAGAGCAAGATTTCAGCAGAACCAACGAAGTGGCGAACATAAAAAATTCGATATGTCTGAGTGGAATTCGGTACAGGATCTGATGGTTTTTTCCATTGATCCGATATGCATATGGGCGATGCGGTGCTCTCCACCTCGACCGGATCAGTCCAGGTATGACGAAGTAGGACACCAGTGGTGTCAAGTCTTGCAAGCTTCGAGATCGAACGAATTGAGCAGTCTGCGAGAAACACGTCGCTGGGGTTTGAAAGGCAAAGAAGATCAATGGAGGAGGACCAGACATGAGGAGCGTGGCCCTTTTATGACGGTCGCGTATCTTCTAACTCAGATACACGCCCCGAATGCGAGTGGACGAATTGGGATGTAAATGGTCTTACCCTGGCCGTTTTGCTATGGTTTGGCAGCCCAAACCGACTACCAAGGCGCCTTTGACGAGTCAAAACGACCGTCGTGCCCCAGAAATACGATGGGGTATCTCTTTTGAGTAGTTTTTGAGAAAGTGTGGTAGTACAAGATCCGCGTAACCAGGGCATGAAGGGGGGGGGACTTGGTCGTGCTTCCGAGGTGTCAGATCGCACGGAGATGGCTCCGTCGAATCTCGAAAGGATCTGTCAAGTCGCAGAGTTGAATTTCTGTGTCATGTATCAATGCAGCATTGAGCGATTCGAGCAAATGTGTCTGGTCGGACCGCCCTGCCGACCACTCAGGTGCCACCAGACCACAATTCCCTGCCATCTTTGGCGTCTATGTGGCGCTCTCCTCGGCCTTCTCTCTTCGGGTCGGGAAAGGCTGGATGGCATAACGCCACTATCTGAGAACGAAGCCGGGAATCGTAAGCGATGGTTAGGGATTATTGACAATGCATGACCCACGTGATCCCAAATCTCTAATCAAAACAAAAGATTTCCAAGATTCAATGGAACAGAACTAAAACAAGCGAGAGTGTTTGGGTTCTGGTTGTATGATGCATGTTGAACTCCACAACAAGGTCAGTAAGAACAAGGCCCGATGCCACAAGTTCTTCAGTGCTTCACAGGATTCTCATAATTTGACAACCAAGTCTAATGAACACTGCTGGAAACCACAAAATAGTTTAGTAATACATCTCAAAAATTGACTGTCCCTCGACTCTAAAATTCAAACCTATACCAAAGCAAACGCCTTAACACCAAAAAGGGTTATACCTCCCCCAGAAAGACCTCGCTGGCCCAGATTTATGCTACACTACTGTCACATTCTCGTCTTCCTTCTTTTTACCGTTCTTGAGCCATGTCTTCACAGACTCGAACTTATCGGTAAGCCAGGACCAAAAATTCTTCTTCTCCCCTTCTGAGACTACACTATCATCGCCAACAACTGGACGGTCGACATTTGCTTCATCCACATGGTCAACACCCACTGGAACCACATCAGGTGAGTAAACATTGGAATCTGGGACTGGATCAACCTCAATGGGGGATATTGAAATAACTCCATCAAGACCGGCGTCTGCAGTCTGGGAGGCTGTCATTGATGATGATGTAGATGAGAGTGGTACTGAAGGTGAAGGTGTGGTCGGCGGAGGAGGATCAACAAGTTCCTGTGGTGTGGGTTCCGATGAATGGAGACCTACGGTCTTAAAAGGAAGTCTAATGGTTCCATTATTGGGGTTCGGTGTTAGACCCAGCGAGTCGCAAATGATATTGTAGACCTCAATATTTTGAAATGGTTCCACACGACTATTTGGTGCATGCGGAAATGCTGGTCCTCTGGCAACGAAGATCGAACGCATAAGCGGGTGTTCGTGGTCATAACCATGAAGGCCCCGAGGGTGATAAACAAGCCCCTTCTCTTTTCCTTCAGCAATGTTGAATTCTTTCCGGGTGGTTATAGCCCAGCCCGTCTTTGGAATGACCCACAACGGAGCAATTCGCTCGTTTTTGGAAAAGTGATAACGCTCCGGCATGTTTTTGTCGCGGAGGTAAACTTCAAAATTTGGGTTTTTGGAAGCTTCCTCAGCAAGCGTATCATAAAGCCCCTGTAAATCCTTCATGTCTTTGGGGCGAAGACCATAGAGGGGCCAACCATCCATGTGCTCAATCAAACTCGTATCAATAATGTCTTCCATCTGGATAAGTCGAGTGATGTCTGTGGTAGCCATTCCATGATCAGAGACAATGACTACGTTAACTATGTTAGTCAGGTTCCGCTTTTCCAAGCCATTGAACAACTCGTTCAACATGTTGTCAACGTTGGCAATCGTCGTTCGAATTTCCGTGCTATTAGGTCCGAACTTATGCCCGTCCACATCAACATTCGGAACATAAGCCGCAATAAGCTGCGGTCGCATATCGACGGTTTCCGCCACCTCATTCTCCTCTCCTGGTTTATCCAGAAGTTCGAGTATCCTGCTTGCCTTTTTTGTCAATTCTTCCTTTCCATTATAAACATCGACAAAGGCAGGCTCAACAGCCATGATATGCGCCTCGCTTCCAGGCCACATATGAATAGCCGTTCTGATTCCTTGCTCCTCTGCTGTAACCCAGAGAGGCTCACCACCCCACCACTTTGGCAACATTGCTATTGGTTTTGTATAGTAGAACTCCTCTTTTAACACCGGGTCCCAAAACGTATTTCCGACAATCCCATGCGACTCAGGGTATAGACCGGTGACTAGTGAATAGTGATTGGGAAATGTGACAGAAGGGAAACTTGGCATCATATAGGCCGGTGACACTCCTTCCTCGACGAAGGATTTTAACCTGGGCGTAATTCCTCGATGCAACATATCAGCTCTGAATCCATCCAGACTTATCAATATAGTTGTAGGAGCAAATAACGCTGTGCCATTGCTCATAATTTTCTGGTTGGCTTTCGCCCCTTTCCGATTCGTCGAGAGCTTCCAGGCTACCAACACAAGTACCGAAAATCCGAGTGTTATGAAGAGGTGTATCAAGCACCACCTGCGCCATTTCCGTCGTTTTTGTGATTTCTCGTCCTGTAGACCGAGCAGACCTCTCCGGTCAACCTCAATACTGTCCTCTGTCTCGCTACTCTCCCCCGTTACGCTCCCTTCCCTCATTCCTCCTTCCTCCATTTCGTACAATAGTCGCCCATCCTCCCCACGCATCAATTTCTCCTTCTTCTGGCTTCTCCTTGCCCTCCGGTTCTTCCGTCGTTCTCTTTTGCCACTTCCTACATCACGCTTTTCGCTCATCTCAATTCCTCCTTCGTGGGGCAATTCGCTATAACTCTTTTGAAATAGCTTCTTTAGTGGAGCTGCTATTGACATCCCACTGCCTCGGCGACCACGTTTCATACTCTCCTCCAACAACAATTTGTCTCTTTCTTCTTCTTCGATCAACACACTTCGATCGTGTGCGCGTATATCCGCGCTTGTGCGGGCGCCCAAAAGAACTTCATCGTCTTCGCTATCCGAGTCCTGGTCGCTGCGCTCGCTGTGAACACTTGAGGCATCGTCATCATAATTCGAGGGAGACAGGAAGGATTTCGAGGTATCGCGACGTTGAGGCATATTTACGAAGGCAGTTTATACATTGGAGATGTTGTGTTGGAACTTGAATAATTTCCCGTCGTTCCTGTACAAATACAAGTAGCCATTCCGCCTCGCTGATGCGGAAGAGGTTATTAAGTGGGGCGCAGAGAGTCTGAAACTCATATCTCTGCCTGAATATCAAGGCTTCAACTACGATTGTTAATTGTATAGGCTGATTCACCCCTCCCTCTTATCTGAACGAGAAATAACAATTATTTGATGGGACTCTTTTAGATTCGGAGATACACGTTATTGAAAAAAGACAACATATGGTCACAAAAGCTAACTCTTGGATAGGCGAAGCAAGACTATGTAGCAAGTGAAGCTATTCGCTAGCCAAACTACGGTACCAAACATGGGCGGCGTCATACGTTGATTCGTGAACGAACCTTACACCTGGAAAGTAACCGCCACTTAGCTCAAGTGGTGCCACTAGAAACAGAATGGTATAAAGAAAGAATACATTGTGCTATCAAGGCGAGTATTTCTTTCTTAATGAATTTTGATTCTCAGGATATATTTGATTCAGTACGCAAACGCGCATTCATCTGCGAAATATCTTTTTGTTTTCTTGGTTATCGAATTTTATACCGCAGATTGAGGAAGGTTGAGAGGGTTTGAGGAAGGGTTTGTGAGTACCGATAGTTTCTAATTTCGTCTCATCTTGAGTCAAAATTGGCGAAAGTGCGCGCAATTGGAGCCATTGTATGGCCTTGTAAGTTTAACAAAAGTTGCGTGCCATTTCCGCTGGGTTTGCGGGCTTTTGGCCCTTCTCGCAGATGTCATCTGCAGTATTTCTTGGTCTTGATGATCACCATACCCTTGTATTACAAGAATTACATCAGATATACGGAGTACAGAGTACACAGCCGCCCTTCGATATCTTGTTTTAGGGGTCCATTTGATTTCGTCGACGCAGATCACTCTCTAGAAAGTCCCCAGAAATGCCATGTCATCTATGCGGCATTTTCGTCCTCGCTTGTCGCTTGAGTTAAAGGGGCATGGAAAAATGCCTCATCCCACTTTCCAGCTTGGACAACAACATTGATGTATTCTTCCTCCCAACCGAATAGAAGATACAAGATTACATGAATCGGTCATTCTGAATTCAGGTCAACTTGTGGTATACATTTCGATCCATCCTCGAGCCTCATTTTTGACCAAGCACTCCCACCAATTTATCTGAGAATATACTCGCGCTCACAATGGATCCTGTTTCATGCTTCACCATGGGAATCGGTCTTCTCATTACCATGGTCGTGATGGAATTCTTGGAACCAAAGCGTTCTCAATTTGAGAACATGTAAACATTAGAGAGAAGGTATTCTACCCTTCTTTTCGCACTGAATGCACCGCTAATTCTTTGACAGCAAGATTTCTCAAACTACTCCCCGATAACGCTCTCATACCTCCGCCGCGGGCAAATTTGCACCACTAAAGTCTCTATTTTTGTCCACGATATTAGGCGCATTCCCTGCAGACTCAACTCCTTCATACACCTCATTCCTTCCAAGCATATGATGCTGGGACTGTTAGTTTTCGACATTCTCCTCATGCTTAGAACAACATACCTCGACATTGATAATGGGACCTTTGAACCATTTTTTTGCCGAAACAAACCACCAAATAATAACAAACATCATCGGAACTCCATATACAACGACCGTCCAGTTCATCAACTCGGCTGTCAAATTGTTCCCACGTACGGATGGAAAACACAGCATGGGCATCATGATGAGAATAAACGCACAAGACATCATTCCGATGGGCTTGCTGAACTTGCCTAGATGCCATGGTCCTGCCCTAAATCGATCCCCAACGAAGAACACTCGAATGAAGATGGGAATAGTGAAAGCGACCTATGAAAGTCAGCACACTCGAAATACAAAGGGGGCAATCTTTTTTTACCATGGCCGCGATAGCACCAACGCTGAAAATGGCCCCGATTGCCACCGATCCTCCAAATATCAAAAGCAGTAAACAGATTCCAATGGCAGTATTGAACCAAACCGCATTTACAGGTGTATATGTGTGTTTGTTGACCTTTTTGATCCAGTTGGAAGCTGGGAAACAATCGTCTCGAGCGTATGCAAATGTTGCTCTGGACGCAGCCTGGAAAAATCAGAATTGAATTCCTTCGAGATTTTGAGATGTACTCACCACCATACATCCTTGCCCCATTGAAAATCCACAAACGATAGTCAGGGCAAGAATCGCCAATGCTGTATTCTGCGGCATCACCTGTACCAAATACGAAGCCCATGGTTGGCCGAGACTCGAATCAATAACTGCAGGTACATCGGCAACTGTGTAGGCAACCACGAGTTGTAAAGCCCACCCAGCAAGGCCTCCAACACCGCTTGTCATCACGATAGCACGTGGAGCTGCGATATTGGCATTGCTACACTCTTCAGAGAGATGGAAAGGCGCATCGTATCCTGACATGGTCCAAATAATGGCGAGGAAACTCATGAGGACTGCTATTCCATCGGGCCAATCTGTTCCATTTTGAACGGACCATACGTGATTTGAGAGAAAGAATTTCGGAGTATCAGCTGTTCCGGTTACTGAGACGGGGATCATGATTATTACGATGAACAACGCGATCTGTCTTTTGTAAGCATTGTGGAGTTTTGGAGTTTGGTATGGATGAAAAGTCATCACAGTAAGAGATGCGGTCATTACTTTGAACACGCGTAGGTCTCTTAATCTCAAATGAAATTGATCACTTACCATGTTCAATGTCGATCCAAATGAATTGTATCTTGCAATCCAGAGAGTCGGCATGCTTGAGATGCAAGCATGAATAAGCATTACAAAAACGGTTAGAAGAAAGGTGTGATAATTTTGTGGAACATAGCCGGGGTGAGTGATAGAGGCGCAAGCAAGCACCATGGCAGACAGAGCGTAATCAACACTTGGTGCCCCAGTTACTTGAACCATCCAGTTACTCCAGCCGGTGATCCAAGCAGCAAAGGGCCCATATCCTGGTGGCGCTAAGACCTGAATACAAAGTCAGCCAGGAAATCTACAAACACTCTTAAAGAAGCAAACCACCCTCCCAGAATGGTTTGAGCCCCAGGAGAGAAATACCGCTGCCGCATAATATAGGCCACCACTATATCGAGTTAGTCTTCGTGGCCCACGCAGAGCGTAGAACTTCGACAAACCTTGTGGGCATACTCGAACAAAGTTCAGCCATTCCCATCGCAACACATTGAACTGAAAGAACATCGCTCAGTTTTCACTTCCCTCCATGAGTTTTAGATATTTACTCACTGAAGAACCAACTGATCAACCATCCCCAAACCATTCCACCAGTCCCTGCATACCCCATTCCGTAATACAAAGTGCTTGCAAAACTGGGTAGTAACCCTAAGACAGCGAACGAAACGCAAAAGGTTGTCCAAAGGGAGAATTCTCTCTTAAATTCCTGTTTGTAACCAAGTGCTACCAAAGCAGCCTCATCTGCACTCAGCCCCTCGTAATCTGGAACGCTTCTATCTCTAAGAACGGAGGTAACCGATGGCTTTCGTTGGCCTTTTAAAGGATTCGAGCCGTGAGAGCTCTTCCCATCGTCGAGGGACGACATGTTGAGCGCGTTTGGAGCGTGGTGTATGACCAAAATTGCTGTTGTGAAGCCTCCCAGAAAATCTGCGATGACTTTCTATAGTCAATGTCGTTCACCCTTCGGCTACAGCGAAATCGAAGGAAAGATCTGGCTTATGGTCTGCAAATTGTATTCATTGTAGTCAACCCGTACTGTGTCGTCTTTATAAACGGTCGATCAGTGGGATTAAGAACACATGGTAGCACGGCAGATAAGGGACCTTACTACACACAGAAATTATATGTAGCCTGACACAAGGTTTTCAGGATTTAGGGGTCTCGCCTGCTGACAGCTGAAAAATGAATGACCCGCTAACCTTGAAATTTGAAGTCAAGCTTGTATCCTACCTTAACAAAACATAATTGTAATACTGTACTGGCGTAGAAAGCAATGTCGTTTTAGTGATTAATATGAGCCCAAAGTAGTTATATGATGAACGGAGAACTCGAGAATGGGAAGAGAAATCCCAATTCGTTCCGCATCATTAGATGTGGTGATGGTTGGATTTGAAGTTCATCCCAGCTCAAGGTAGGCTTATCTCTCGCCTATCACGCCCCTATCAGGTCTGGCTTACTTGTACGCACCAATGAAATCATTTAGAACACCAACTCACCGTTATCATGATTTCCCATCTGGCATGTTAAACAGTTAAAGAAGCATCGGAAAGCTTTACTGCAATCCGGCGACCTGGTGAATTTCTTTGGCATTGCATCTTGGTATTTCTCTCGAAATGATCTCATCTAGGAATGCAGCCGTCGCTATGACTCAAAAGTGAGAGAATGTATAAACTTTGATATCTCGAATTGCCTTCCACTTAGCTTCGAATGACCAGGTTCGATGTGGGGAAGATTCTCTTACGTATTTCATTCAATAGGTTCAGGCGGCGGATAAGACGTCAATATGCATGAGCACCCCTTGGAACAGGCAAATTCTGGGGTTGGGTCATTCTCGGCGATTCCGTACTTAGTCTCTTTTGAGGCATTGTTCTGGCCGGCCAAAATTGTGGAGAAACTTTTGAGACGAGGTTTGTCACGTGGTTGTACCTTATCTACTAGGTACCTAAGAGACCCGGTTATGACTTTGGACAGACTATGAAGAATTATTAAACTAAAGATCAAGCATAAGTTACATGGCCGTTTTGGTATATCTAGGTTAATAGAAAACAAGAAGTATCAATTACTTCGTATCTGACTTAAAGGGGTGTCCAGACTAATTAATAACCGGGTATCCAATGATGACTGTAAAAAAAAAAGAGGAGAGGCATCATTCAATTTACAACACTTTTGAATGTAGATTGTCTGATTCTTCATCTTAAAAAGAATTCTGGTTACCCTTTCGCTATTGTCGCCTAGTTGGTAAGATTTCTCCTCAGAGGCGACACAATCCGTTGAACTCCAATAGTTTCTTGAATGTCCTCCAAATGCAATACTGTATCCCACATCTTTGCTTTGTCCGTTTTGTTTTCTGGTCCTAAAACAAAAGTTGAACCGCCCTCTGAATAATCCTCCCAATCATCATCCAAATTATTTCCCAGCTCTCCAGCTCTTACAGCACTCGAAACTTTCCATAACTTGGTTCCATATCTCCGGTGCTAGCGACGAAATGAACTCCCTGTTAGCTATCTTCATGTCACAGATTAGTTGTATAAGTTAGATGTTATTAAAGGTTATGGGGAAAATGTAGCGTAGGAGATAACACATCTTACCATTAGACTATTTCTTGAAATGGATACCTTGGGTGCACATGTTAGCCGAAACAACCCTGTTAGGGCACACGGTAACAACGAAGATAGAACATTTTCAATTGTTTATAGAGACTAATATTAAATTGTATGCTCTCATCCCTAGAACAAGGCCGCTATTCACGATATCCTAGGCTGTCTCCTACTAGATTGCTGCAAAACATACCCTGCTTATGGCGAAGTGGGTATTAAACTCGATTTAATTATTTATAAAAGGTCTACGAAAGGAAGGTTCTTCCTTACTGGTTGGGTAAAACTACTAATTGGTAGTCAGCCCTATGCTTGGAAGTTTGTGGGCGCCGGTACTTTAGAAATCCCCAGCTTTTTTTCCCCCCTTTTTTCCAGGTTTGATTAATACAACTTACAGGTGAGAAACCGACACATACGACCATAGACTGAGGAGAATTGGGCATCCCGTCCGCTCTGCCATACACAAGCCTCAGATCGGCAGATTAGTAGTTGGGTGGGTGACCACCAGCGAATACCTGCTGTTGTATGTCTGTATTTTTGCATTTTTTTTCTCTCGTTATCCTGACCCATGCAAAGTGGTAAGAAAAGGGGGACATAGAAAAATGGAATCCATCTATCGATTTGTGAAGAATATGTACCTAAGGAGGCGAGGATGGTTCCTTCCAGGTTCCCCTTTCCTGCCCTACCACCTGGTTACCGACTACAACGATGCAAAAACCCCACGATAAACTCGTAAGAAACATAATATAAAAAGTCTTTGTAATATTTTTGGATTTGATTTCAAGATTGCTTTAGTTTCCGGAAATACCAGAGTCTAATTCCGGTTGGAATCACCTTTTTTGAGATTCTATGTACCATAAGCTGGGCTCTAGAGCATCCCACTCAAGATAGGAACCGGGACATGCCGGCAATAATCCTACTACCCCTGCTGCCCTTGTTTATCATCACTCTAGCACATGTTACACGGATAATTTATCAAAATCTCGGCCTGTTTTCTTCCGAATGTCGACCGTCAGCTGTTATTGCTCAATTGTAAGTATCGATGTTACTGCAACGTGATATCACTTGGATCAATTCAAGGTTCGAGTAATTAAGTCCCCTAGTTGGATGGTACCTTCCATCATGTACCCCGCGCGCTGCGATAGCTATCCAATTTTGGGTAAATACATATACAGAAGTCTTATGACGATGAGGGGAAATATGTTACATGTATTAATGGGCATCTACTTTCTCCCTTTTTCGCACCCTCGAAATCTCAGGATCCTGTTCGGTCTTGGGATTTGGAAACTAATCGATAGGCATCGTTGAGCATCAATCGCCATGAGGCTTTCCTCCGTACTGGCGCTGGCCTTTTTGGGCAACGCGCTATCTTTGGGAACCAGTCACTCACCGTCGCGTCTTCATATTCAGATGCCAAATGATCCAGCAAAGCGAGCATTACTGCAGAATATAGTAACGTGGGATCAACACTCACTATTCATAAATGGAGAGCGAATCATGTTTTTCAGTGGAGAAGTCCATCCGTTCAGATTGCCAGTAGCCTCACTTTACTTGGATGTCTTTCAGAAGATTAAGGCCATGGGATTCAATTGTGTGAGCTTCTACACAATGTGGGCTTTGCTTGAACCTAAGCAGGGAGAGTTCAGAGCCGAGGGCGTGTTTGATTTGGTGCCGTTTTTTGAAGCTGCTTCTGAGGCTGGCCTTTATCTTCTGGCTGTCCGTGTAATCACATGAAGAATACTGTTGCATTTGCTGACTTCTTCACAGAGACCGGGGCCTTATATCAATGCAGAGGTTACTGGGGGTGGATATCCAGGTTGGTTGCAACGAATTACTGGAAGGTTACGAACCTCCGACGCAGATTACCTTGCAGCCACAGACAAGTAAAACACTCATTTGATAAGGAAAAGTGCTACAGAACTAACATCTTGTGAAGTTATATGGCACATATCGGTAAGATAATTGCGAAGTATCAGATTACTGAAGGTGGACCCATTATTTTGTGGCAGCCCGAAAATGAATATAGTCGATCTGGCTACATCACACCTTTTCCTCAAAAAGATTATATGCAATATGTAGAAGACCAAGCTAGGAATGCCGGAATAGTGGTTCCTTTCATCTCCAATGATGTGAATCCTCTGGGCTACTTTGCCCCAGGAACTGGACTGGGTGAGGTCGACATTTATGTGAGTGGTTCAGATGAGCTCATAAAATAAAGCTATCTACTGATATTCACAGGGCTACGATGGATACCCTCTAAGGTTTGACTGTGTAGGTTCATTCCTCAATACTATGGTAAATAACCCCTGATTAATCTTCTAGTCAAATCCATCAGTGTGGCCAGCGAACTTCCTACCAACAACTTGGCGATTATTGCACTTGAAGCAGTCACCGAACACCCCTAACGCGGTTGTTGAAGTGAGTTATCCAGCAAAACCCTTTGAGAATGAAAACTAAATCTGTGAAAGTTTCAAGCTGGTTCTTTCGATCCGTGGGGTGGGCCTGGATTCGAGAAGTGCACGCAGCTCTTAGGATATGAGTTTGAACGGGTTTTCTACAAGAATCTGTACTCTGCTGGAACTACCTTTCTGAATCTTGTAAGCCGAGTTGTACCCGTCGAAATCCGGAGAAGACGGATCAATCTGAGTAGCGAGCTAACCATGATTTCTTATAGTATATGGTACATTCCCCTCGACGAGCGTGAACGAGGAGACACTTGAGATTACACCACTGAAAACGTCTTTAGATATTTGGAGGAACTAACTGGGGAGGTATCAGTTACCCAGAGGGCTACACATCATACGACTATGGCGCCGCCATCGAGGAAGATGGGCGTGCCTTAAACAGAGAAAAGTATAGCGAACTAAAACTTCAAGCTCAAATGTTGAAAGTGTCACCTGGGTATATCACTGCTACACCCACAGTGAATTACACGAATCTTGTATATAGCACCACCAAAGAAATCGCTATAACTCCACTTTTCGCCTCAAACGGTACCTATGGAAATTTCTACGTCGTAAGACACCTGGACTATGCTTCTCAGGCATCAACAAACTATACTATAAAATTATCGACATCAGTGGGATCACTCACTGTTCCTCAAATGGGTGGTTCCTTGACGCTGAATGGTCGGGATTCAAAAATACACGTCAGCGATTATTTTGCTGGGATTAATGTGCTTTACTCTACTGCTGAAATCTTCACTTGGAAACAGTTTGACAACAAGGCAGTGTTGATAGTATACGGCGATAACGGAGAATTACATGAGATGGCCTTTAATACTACGTCGGAACCAGTGGTAGTTGAGGGCGAGGGGGTTGAGGCTCAGTTGATCGGCGGAAACTGGGTTGTCCAATGCGTTGCTGACTCAACACGAAAAATGATCCAAATGGGAACGCTCACAGTTTACATGCTGGGTAAGTTCGCAAGTTCTCACTTTCAATAGGGTTACTAATTTGAACAGACCGAAACTCTGCATATGATTATTGGGTCCCGGATATTGGCCCGGCGTATGGTACCTCGTACCTTAATCCAGAATCAGTAATTATTAAAGCAGGATATCTTGTCAGAAATGCGTCAATATCAGAAGGCTGTCTTTACATCTCTGCAGATTTCAACACTTCTACATCAGTAGAAGTGATTGGCGCACCTTCAAGAATTTCAAAGCTCTTCATTAACGGGGAAGAACAAAGTTACCCGAAAACGGAGATAACCCTGCCGGCGCTCGACTTAGCTCTTCCAGACCTTTCGGGGCTTGGCTGGAGTTATGTTGATTCGTTACCTGAAACCAAAGACGGTTACGATGATAGCCTTTGGGTTATTGCCGATCATGCTACTACCCCAAACCCTGCTGGAACGCCTCTTTTGACACCTGTATCGCTCTACGGGAGTGATTATGGTTTCCATGTGGGTGCTCTAGTCTACCGCGGTTCTTTCACCTCAACTGGTCAAGAGAGCTCTCTCTATATCTCGACTCGTGGTGCTTGGGCATTCGCATCGTCTGTCTTTCTCAACGGTACTCTCATTGGTTCTTTCCCGGGCGAAATGGAGAGCGAATGGAGTAACGTAACCTATAGCATACCAACACTCACATCAGGAAGTACTTATATCCTCACCGTCGTTGTAGACAACATGGGCCTTGAGGAAGATACTCCCGGCGCCGATGACATGAAATCCCCACGTGGCATTATTGACTACAGTCTCACCTGCCCCAATAGTACTGCCACAACTATATCATGGAAACTCACGGGAAACCTGGGTGGCGAAGATTACATCGACCAAGCTCGTGGACCCCTTAGCGAAGGAGGATTCTTTGCTGAACGTCAAGGCTACACTGCTCCAGAGCCACCTCTTGATGTCTTTACACCAGGCAGTCCCTACACCGGCTTCGAAGGAGCAGGAGTAGTCTACTACACCGCGAACTTTTCTCTTGCTCTTCCAAGCGAGGCATGGGATATCCCGCTCTCTTTTGTCTTTCCGAATACCACAGACGCGATAGGATATCGTGCCCTTTTGTATGTTAACGGCTGGCAATTCGGTAGATATGTAGCCAATATTGGACCACAAACACGATTTCCAGTTCCGGAGGGGATTTTGAATTATAAAGGTACTAATTGGGTTGGTTTGGTGTTGTGGGCGTATGGAGAAGAGGGTGCAAAGGTTGAAGGGTTTACGCTGGAGGCTGGGATGCCGGTCTTGTCGGGAAGGTCACCTGTTGTACTTGTAGATTGTCCTAAGTGGTGTGTGAGGGATGGGGCTTACTAAGGGGAATGATGGGCTCTATTTTTATGTGTTTGTTTATGGACAACGGTAGTTCGCTTAGTGTAGTACTCGTTCATTGGGCAGTTTAGAAATTTGTATCCCACTTGAGGACAGCCTCACCTTTTACGCTCTTGTCGACGGTCGATACCCTTAATTTCTTAATTTACGAATCTTCAATGAAAATGAATATATATTTGTATTTGAAAGAAGTGTTTTACAGTAGCAGTTAGTCGCACCAGGAGGAGGCAGCATGCACGGGCCTCCAGGTGGCCAATGTGTCAAACGAATGTACTGTACCACTCCATGCGAACTGTTGCCGATTTCATCGAGAAATCCATGAATACAAAAACAAGAAATTTTCGCAATGAGTGCTGCCGAATCCATCCAAAGCATTGCTTCTGCTCTGCTCGCTCAGAAGTCCTTGAGTTTGGTCTCCTGGCAACCGATCCAAACCCTCTGGGCAGGCTACGGCCAAATCTGTCGTGTCATCGCATCACCTGACCTTGCATCAAAAAGTATCTTGGACAGCTCACCCATCTGTATTGCGCCTCCTGCATCAGTCTTTGACTCGTCCTCAACCTCAGGGGTTACCTCAATAGCGAGTTCGGAGAAATCAACACCTTTGGAGTCGGATAATTCGACCCCACTAGAATTCCAATCATGGATCTTGAAATACATCGCACCTCCATCCACAAAAAGAAGTGGAGATGAGGGACATGTTCGAAAGATCCTCAGTTACCATATTGAACAATACTTCTACACCTATCTTGCCAATCAAATGCCAGCCGATATACCAGTAGCTACCTGTTTAGCAAGCATCAAATCAGATTCCACATCCTCGGCCAATTCGAATGTCAGTTCTGGTAACCCGAATGTAACAGCCATGCTACTGACGGATCTTCGAGCTGGGTTTCCAGTAGCGGGTGAAAAGCGATCTGAATTGAATGAGATCCAAGTGCATGCTGCGCTGAATTGGCTGGCCAAATTTCATGGATTTTGGTGGGCTCGTGTTGAGAAATTCGACAGAGAAGACCTGGCTAGGCCACCACTCGACGAGGTGAAGAGGGGCAAAGAAGGTTCGATAGATGGCGTCTGGTTGAACGGAGGATACACATATCTTGCCACCAGAAGATCTGAATACGCATTTCTAATGGAGGAAGAAGACTCTGAATGGAGCCAGGCTCTCTGCTTGGCAACGGATGGTGAGAAATTATCGCTTGCTGAAAGGGTTGCCGTAGCTTTAGCTCCTCGTGTGGATGGGCAAGGGAGTCTATCAAACTACGTGACGCTCATCCACGGGGATGTCAAATCAGAGAATTTATTCACAACTCGTTCCGGTGATCAAGTTGCGTTCTACGACTTCCAGTACGTAGGATTGGGACTCGGAGTTTGCGACTTGGCAAAACTGTTTACTTGCTCGGTTCCATTGCGCATGCTTGGAGATAGTGCTATACCGGATAAGCTTCCGATGCAAAACGGCGAGAAAGTGTTGCTTGAGAGGTATCAGAAACAGATTGAAGCGTCATCGGGCAAGAAATATCCTTGGGATGTTTTGGTAAAACACTGGGAGTCTGCTCTCGTTGATTGGTTGAGGTTTCAAGCAAGTTGGGGATTCTGGGGAAATACTGAGTGGCTTGAAGCGAGGGTGAGTTACATACTAAGTGATGCGGAATGGAGTGCTTGGTTAGACAGAGCGATAGAATGAAGACAGAAGTCCGCTTCCTATCTTGTATTTGGTATTGAGATGGTATGGATTACCTGCCCTTTTTGACCTTTAACCTGGAGGTGACGGACTGTTCGAGAATGAAATGTAACTTTAATACAAAAAGACGCATTTTTTGTCCATGGCTATTTGAGCGTATAGACTCGCGGAATATAGAAGCACACCTAATACGATATTGACGGGTTATCATGAACATAATGTATCCAGAAAAGATCAGGAAGACGAAAACTGGGTGATCGCAAACAAAGAGCTAACAGTGAACGCCAATTTCTACACTTGCCACGGGGCACAAACTTCTTCCTTTATGATAGTTGGAACCAGGGAATCTCAGCTACCAGGCCCCTGTGAGTAAGGTAATTGAGTGGATAATAGATGGTGGCAGTTGGTTTCATGCTAGCATGGTGCAATCCAACTCACATGTCTTGATGAAAAGCATGCACTAGATTGGAGTATTATAAATGTATGAATCATCCAAGGAGAGATAGACAGGTTTTACCGACAAGAATTTTGAGTGGCAGACTGGCATCCCTGGTTGGATATGAGAAGCGATCAAAGAAAGTCGATTTGTCTTTTCATCCATCACCAACATCATAGAGGCGAGATAGTGTATGTTAGTCGGAAGGAGTCCGTATTGAATCTTTTTTTGAACAACCTTCTTTAATTCCCTTTCATCATCGAAAAGAAGGAGCCTTGATATCCTACGAGTGTATGTCCCAACATGTTGGAACCAACATCACGGTTACATTTGGGCGGAGGATGAAAGGAATGTTAGTGGGAGTGGGTCTGAAAACCATGCCGCTCATCATACCAACTCCAACGCAGACTTTTCATTCATTGGAACTAACATATAGCAAGGGCATCAAAGAAAAATAATTTCTGTGAAGCAAAACCTTGACATGAAGCGATAAGTATCTAAGAAGTTGAAACTATAAAAGTTGCAGTCTCCGCCAGAAATATAGATCATAGAAGTTATCAAACACCTTGATCAGTCTTCTACCAACATACTTCATTTGAGCACCCCTCATCGAATCACCCAAACCAAAAATGTGCAGAATTGTCTCCCAGGTTTACACTCTCTGCCCTGATAGGGTACTCAGTACCTATTTCCCGTCTAAACCCGGTAATTCACTCAAGTCTAGGGTTTGCCATATAGAATACTGGGTCGAAGAAGCGTGCGACGACACAGAAACCACCCTCCACGACAAGCAAACAAAGTTTAGCAGCAAGCACAAGTATTTCAACTGGGAAGACAACGAAAATAACAATGAGAAAGCTTGGACGGCAGATCCTCGCTGGAATTGTAGAACCAATGATAGTTCAAGAGTTCGGGATTGCTTCCAAAAGCTTAAGGCGCTTGACGGCTTTGAAGAATTTCACCCATATGAAGAACCAAAGAGTAGGAAAGAAATGAAAAGGAGCAAACAATTTAAGCATACCTACATTCATCCTTTAAGCCCTCATTCTCCACAACTCAAGCTGAATGGGTACTATGAGACTGCAATGGGAAGTGGTATGTACCAGGTGAATTTGGATCCCAGAAACGACATTTTCGAAAAAGGAAAACATAACGACGAGATGGTAGCCTTGAACCGCTTAATGGCGGTAAAGGATCAATTGGATGAAGAGTTTGAGATTGAGAATGAACTTGGTGACACACCTGAAAGCAGAACCTGAATTGCAACAGCAAAGATAATAAAGAAACCATTCCCTATGTGACCAAAGCACTAAGTCTTTTGCAGTCAAGCTTTTGTTTCCAGTTACTTACTACGGGTCTAGTCATACTGTCGTTTACGATTTCCTACCTTAGCAGATTGTTTGTTCGCTCAAACTATTGTCGCTGGTTTTGAATTTACAAGGCTTGGATACAGCCTGTTAAAATCGGTCTAGAAAAAGAGAAAAAAAAAGTGGTTCAACTAGTCAGGTCAGATAGGGGGATACATTTAGCTTTGCTTCAAAATTAAACCAACTTTTTACGCTCCTTAAACACCTCTTCACTTTGACATCAGCAATCATGCCAACATTTTGTGAAACAAGCATAGTTTTTCTATGATTTTGCGGCTCAGTATGGATATTAGAGCGCAGTAAATAGTTTATTAGTCACAAAAAGAAGTGGTCACAGCTTTCCCTTTGCGGTGTATCAGAGGTAAATAGGGTGAGAAAGGGACCTTCCTCAAACTTGATTTGTCTAGATTTCTTTCTACACCCCTTGACCAAAAAAGAGGAATGCTAACTAGCTTAAAAGGGTTCTCATAATAGAGCTGGTATTGATGAATATCTTGCTCAGTCCACATAATATGTTCTCGGTTAGTTTTGTAAGAGGTATCGGTTATATACAGAGTGTATATAAGACAGTGGAAGTAGGATGGTCAGGTGACTGTTAGGTACATCGGGAATCAAAAGAGTAAGAATTTGACTTGTGAAAATGACTTGATTTTTCTAACTATGAGGACAGTAAAGGTCTATATATACTCCTTAGATAGATTCTAGGAGGTTCTATAGATTATAAATAGAATAGAAGTGCTTATAAATAGAAAGGGATACTAGAATGTTTCGGTTCACGTGATCGAACGTTCTAGAATAAGCGAGAACAGACTAAGGTTTAAACCTAAAGTCTATTAGTAAGTAAGGTAATTATTACCTAAATGAAACAAGTTTCCCACACAGGGCCCTGATGCGGGTGAATTCTCTCTGTTTTCCTCATGGTACAATACCTTAGCATTATGTTTTGATTTCAATTTAACCGGAATTCAAGACGTACATCGACATTTTTTATGTCTCAAAATACTTCGTTCTGACTTCTTAACCACTCTGGTGATATGGTGAAGTTCCATTACCAATCAAAACGATTTCTTGATACGAAGCTCAATGGGGTACTGTAGTATATTTTGGCTGACACCAGGCGCGCCAGAAATCCAATTCCTGATTGGCGAACACCACCTTTCAACCCCCCCTTCTCCCCCCCATAAAAGTCAACTAGAACTCCTGCATGGTTTTTCCCTTGCTAGAATGCGGGGTAAATAACAAAGCTTGGATAACTTATATGCATTTCATCTTGTAACGCCTCGCAATGTAGCGTACGTTTGACGGCCGAGTCTAGTTATACTTCTCAAGAACCGAATTTGTTCTGTAATAAACTTATCGGAAGCAAGTTTCAAATTCCATTGGCTCACTCGTACTCTGTAATGGCCAAGTTCGGAGGCAATTTGAGCGATGCAGGTACCGGCGAGTCGTCCCCACTATGTTCCCGCGATTTGTCATTCCAATTCTGTATACATAAAGCGGGACGTCAGTCCAATTGAGATTGATGGTGGGGGTGTGTGGCGTACATCTTTCCCGGCAAAATAGAGACGGATGCAACGTTGTGCGGTTAAAATGACGGAACAGGCTTCATAGGAGGAAGCCTGGCTGTCTACGATGTTTATCAGAAAGCTGTGTGTTTGCAAAACTAGCTTTGTATCTTATACCCCCCTGTTATTGCATCCTCACCACGGAATATAAACTTCCCCGCGCTGCGGCTGGTGCTGAGCAAGTTGCTCTTATTGGTATATCGTTCTCTAGAGACCCCACAGAAGAGCTTCTGCATTTAGGCTATTTGAAGTTTTGGCTGCGATAAGCTGACTTGCATACCTTGGGCACTTAGTTGAAGTAACGTCATACCAAATTGTATGATATTCTTTCTTGATTGTCAACCTGTAAATACTGGTAAAAATCACTTTTGGTGCTCCCGTGTTTTAGAATTATCATTCTCTGCTCATATATAGAGGACTGAATAAGGGCTGAAATTCAAACGACAAATGCCGTTTCTTACCCCAGAATCACGCGCAAGAGGTTTTTGTATCATGCCATCGATTACCGGAGAATGATTTGTCGGGAAGTAGCTGTAACTTGGCCTTGGGTTTGTGACCTCTTGGCACATGCACATGCACATGGTCAGAGGAATCCTTGAAACGCACGCATTCAATAAACCTGTGCTACTTATGGAATTGCAGGGGTCTAAACGAGCTGGGTATGGAAGAGAGAGCTCTGTGTTCACGAAAAGAGGTATAAGCTGACTCCTCTGAAGACTCTGAAGACTCGGAACCTAAACTTACTTTTTTTGCCAGCCCCATTGCTTAAACTTGGAGAAATCATGCGTTTTCAACTTTTCCCGGAAACTTTTGCACTTTTTGGTGTCTCGTGGTGTATCAACTTCGGCTACGAGGCCATTCAGCTCACTGATGGAGATATCGACAACTTCCCTGCTATAGCTTTTGGCGATACCTCCGACCCGATAGATTTTCCTGCCTGTAAAGCATTTCCAGGAACTGACGAGTGGCCATTGGAAAATGAGTGGTCTCAACTAAACTCCTCGCTAGGAGGTGCCTTGCTGAAACCAGTACCTTTAGCATCCGTGTGTTACGCAGGTCCGCTTTACGATGCAAATAAGTGTAGAACTTTACAAAATAATCCTGGACGCACTTATACGAACGACCCCTTGACTGTACTTACCGAATGGCCCGAGGGCGATACTTGTCCTGCAACATCAACACCCAATGTGGGAAGCTGCACCCAAGGTGGCTTTCCTGTTTACGTGATAAATGCCACAACCGTAAAACAGATTCAAATTGGTGTGAACTTTGCAAGAAATAAGAACATTAGATTGGTGATTAAGTAAGCTTTTATTTCCTCAATATATGTTCTTACTGACGTCTAACTTAGGAACACGGGCCATGAATGGACTGGTAGATCATCCGGTGCTGGCTCGCTAAGCATTTGGACGCATTACCTCAAGAGCTTTGAGTATCTCCCGCAGTACTCACAAGCTGAGTACAAAGGTAGAGCTGCCCGGGTTGGGGCAGGGCTTGAGACTTGGGAGATGTTCAACTACATGGCTTCAAATAGAATGGGTGTAGTGGTGCCAGTGAGTGTTTCCATTCGAGCCAGTTTTACTCTGGGGCAAACACTGATTATGTAGGCTGGAACAACAACCATAGGTCCCTACGGAGGATGGATGGCTGGGGGAGGTCATTCTATTTTGACTTCTTCTTATGGCATGGGATCTGATCAGCCCCTTTCTTTGCAAGTTGTTACGGCCGACGGGAGATTCGTGACCGCGGATCCTAGCACAAACGAGGACTTGTTTTTCGCCATGCGTGGCGGAGGTGGATGTAAGTTGTTTTTACACCTTTTTCTCTTCAATTTTGTTGTCACATTGATTATAGCAAAGCTAATTATCTGCAGCCACCTATGGCATTGTAACCTCGGCTATTGTAAAGGCATATCCTCCGATTACTGTAACAAGATCTAGCCTTCAATTCACTTCTGCCAACGTCTCTTTACAGAAGTTCTGGGAGGGTATCAACCTTTACTTCTTTTGGGGCAAGCTTGTGACTGAGGATGAAGGGACTGCTTTTAGCAATGTCATTCGCAACAGTGCAACCAGTTTCAGTTTCAACACCAACGTCGAAATGCCAAATAAGTCAATTCAAGAGGTTTTCGAATTCGTTCAGCCATTCGTCGACTCCATAGAGCGTCTGGGTATTACAATGGACAATCCAATACCGACCAATCCATCAGCAAGTTTTCAAACTGGAACTGGCCAAGGTGATCGACCCGGAAATCAAAGATTCGGTTCTCGTCTTTTCCCGCGACGAAACTGGGAAGACGAAACTCTTTGGAACCAGACGATGGATGCCATTAAAGAGTCTGTTGAGGCTGGCTACACCTTCCATGGCATTCATTTATCAGCCACAGAAGAGCTTGCTGGCTATCCCGGAAACAACGCCGTGAATCCGGGCTTCCGAAATGGTCTCATGCACGCAGATAGCTTCGATTCTTTCACTATTCGAGGGAAGAACGAACACCAGGTCACCGAAGCCCATGCGCGTCAAGAGATCTACATGGAGAAGATTCGAGCTGTAACTCCAGATGGTGGGGCATATTTAAACGAAGCAGACGTCGAAGAACCGAATTGGCAACAAAGTTTCTTTGGAACCAATTACCCTCGCTTACTGGAGATAAAAAGTAAGAGAGATCCCTGGGGTGTATTTTGGGCTTCAACGACCCCTGGAAGTGAGAAATGGGAGGTCAGAGAAAGTTATCCAGTTCCGTCACAGAATGGACCTCTTTGTCGAGTCGTTTAAGCGAGGCAGCGTATTGAATTAGATAATTGAGTTGAGGAGTTGGATTCTAGCCAGATAAAGTAGTAATAAAAACTACTCTGATTAACTCGCCAAGTACTTAATTACTGAAGTACTGTTTGAGTAGTAGTACTGAACAATTCGGTCCGAGTCAATGTAGCGCGCCTGGGCACCCTAGCGACACACTGGCTAGCCGGCAATAATGTAGCTAAAGTATATAGTCTTGTCGCTGCAACTGCGCCTCCATATGCCGTTTACGGAACAGCGTTTTCAGCCGCCGGGGCGCAGGGAAATGATAGTTATGGAACCGCTATGTCAGTGGATAAAGATGGGTTTTTTACTAGAGTCGATCAAAAATTCGGTTACCGCCCTAGTTCCGGCATTCATGGAATGGCATTGAACAGAAATAATACATTTCTGTATTCTGCGGATGACACAGGCAACTTTGTTTGGACGCATTCGGTTGACCCTTCCACGGGTTTTGTTACTTTCGTGGATGCCAGCCCAGCTCCTTCCAATGGATCGCATGGATTCTATGATACACATCCTCGTCATGTGACGGCTCATCCTGAAGGTAAATTCTTATATACCCTGTTCGAGGAATCAGAGCAACTGGCGCAATTCGAGATTGACCAGGCCACTGGCATTCCCTCGTTTCAAGGCGTCGCGTACTCTATGGTCTTACCAGGTATGTTGACCTACATGCGAGATTGAATTGACAACTCCTCTAACTTCGCAATAGACACCAATACGAGTGATCCCTCTACTGGCAGGTATGCTGCTGGAGTTAAATTATCCTCCTCGAACAAATACCTATGTGCATCATTCCGTGGGCGTCAAGAAGATCAAGCAGGAAGCTTTGCTGCATTCTCGCTCAATCCTGATGGGAGTATTATCAAACAACTATTTTTGGTTCCCACGCTCAGCAGTGGAGGCCTCTCGAATATCGTTTCGCCAAATCCGATCACTGATAAGTACGTCGCTATTACTGATGAGTCGTTTGGGTTCGTGGACATTTTCGCTCTCGCGGATGATGCGAGTAAAGTATCCCCGGTAACGCGTTTAAGTATTCCAGACGGTGGTTGTTGTGCAGATGTTTTGTGGGCTTTATGAAATTAATTCACTTGACTTCATCCCATTTTCTACATTTCATAAGTTATGTGTACTGTAAATTGCCTGCCTAGGAGTAGTAAGGAATGAAGTGAATTACATGTCCCCGGTCATGGTCTATGTATCCGGGGGTACATTATATACATATTCCCACAATGCCCATTTTAGTTGGGACGCTATAGTGCCCAAGGGATTAATAGTTTATTAACAACCTTCAGTAAGAAAGATTACTTCGCTAAGTACCGATAGATTATAAGATAATATGTCTAAATATTGAACCTTTAGCAATTTTTAACCTTGCTTATGTATCTATGATAGTTTGTTTAACTATTGACTCCCGGGCGTCAATGGTCTGGATCGTGCTACCACTGGGCTGATCTGTTACCTGAAGAACCAGGTTGTATTTGGCGACAATATTTGAGACACGCATAGGCAGCACGGTAATTGCACAGTTCGCTTGCCATTTTGTGGCGTCCGAAGTCCGGCACTACTTCGTAGGATTCCAGCCACAGTCTATTCCAACGTCCCAGATCCTTCAACAGTCACGAAATCTTCAATAATTGCAAACCCAGAAAGCCTGTTGCCAATGGAAAAACAAAATCTCCCACTCTATACCGCGGTTGGGATGAGCCAGGGAGCTACGTATGGTCCTATATCGTCACGAAAGTCGAAGCACGATTCCGCTTTGCAAACTTACGGTATCGAGTTGAAGCAGGATCTAGGAGGAAGGCACCGCGTGGAAAGATCCCGTATCTTGAACTGGGCTCTGGATTGACTGTTAATCCTACTATTCTGTCCGATTCATCAATTATTATAGCGAAGTTAGTAGAAAGTGGTCAACTTCCCGATCTCAACGCGAGTTTATCCCCAGTGGACAGAGCTCATGATTTGGCTCTCCGATCATTACTAGAAGAGAAGTGGTATTTCTATCAAGTACGCTATTTCTTCTCTCCTCTATGAAAAATGGGTAAAGCAGTTAGCTAATTCAACACAGGCCTGTGAGAAATGGAATGAGAATTACATCGCGATGCGTGACCATATTCTCTGGCATCTCCCACATTTCCTGCAAGTGATACTTGGATTCTTCATCTACCGCCAAATCAGCGCCACGCTCCGCAGTCAGGGTTCTGGCCGTTTCTCGTCTGATGAACTTGCTTCTTTCTCATTCGATATCTGGCAGAGTGTCAATGCGCTACTTGTAGAATCTCAAAATGGCCAGCAGAAAAGTGATCAGCCGTTTTGGGTATTAAGGGGAGAGGGACCAAGTGAGGCTGATGCTGCGCTTTATGGAGCTATAGCGGCGGCTTTGGTGTCTACTGCGTATGTGGTTCGTGAAGTTTGGATAGAGTGTTGAAACTGATGGTTCCATAGATGTCCAAAGGCTAAGGCTCTTGTGGAGAGCTTTCCTACTATTATGGATTATGCCACAAGAATTCACAATCGTTATTTTCCCGACTATGAGATGTGGGAGTAGACTTTTCCTCTATGTTCCAATGGACTAAATGCCCTCAGCAAAAAGGGAGACACTTCAAAACTTTTCTGTTTCAAACTGTAAAGTCGGAGAGGTTTCTAGGGGGTTTCAGGGTGAGAGGTTGGTATGGGAGAGTTGGTGAGGTGAACTGGTAGAGAAGAAAACTGATAGAGAATTCACTTTTAGTGTAACTTGACTCAATCAAAACAATACAATTATCACATTCACTCAGAGTAACTTAAACAGCTACCTAAAAGTATGATGATGTCAACTTCCAAAAACATGTGAATCAATTGACACTCAAAGACCCTCAAACGGCTAAGAGAGAGATAAGTGTGTTCTACCATGCTTATGTATATATGATACGGTGTAGGCTACTGTAGTCTGTTGCCTCGCTTGAACCTTCTCCTAAATTAGTAGTCCGCTCAAACCCAACACGGTAATCTGAAAGAAACTGGCATAAAATTTACCAGACATCGATCCATTCCTATCCCAAATTAGCATCACTCAACCCCAAGAAACACCAAATACCCTACGCCTTCGAAACCTTCGCAGCCGCAACCGCAGGCTCAACCAAAAGCCCCTTCCCAACAACCTCCTGAATACCCCCAAACCAAACATTAGCCATCTTCACATACCCAATATCATTAGGATGTCTCCCATCCGCCAGATCCCCCACCAAAGGCCCCCCCGGACCCCGCATATCAACATACACCAATTTCGCACCCGCAGCTTGCATGGTTGCTACTAATTCCGTGTACTGTCTATTCTCATCCACACGACAAGCATCCTGATCCGCTTTCGAATTCACAAGGATAGAGGTGAGAATCACCGTCGATCCTGGACTCTGAGCGTAGATTTTGGTGATCAGATTCGTGACTTGCTGGCCTGCATCTGGGACGGTGCCTCCTTGATTACAATTATTCGTGCCGGCATCTAGTAGGACTAGATTTGGTAGGAATTCAGGCACAGCGGTGTTTGCTAGTCCGGCGATTTGGGAGATGGTGAAGCCATTTGTTGCTTCGACGGCGTTGTTGGAGAAGTTCCCATTCTTCTTGTCGCCTACGTATTGGATTGTGGGTGAGACTTTCTTGGAGGTGAGGAGATCGAGGAGATCTTTTCGGTAGCTGTTTCCTGTTGTTGAACCGACGCCGAATGTTACGGAGGCGCCTAGAGACATGATGCGGAGGGGTATGGTAGTTGTGTTGATTGGTGCATCTTGTCTTTGAAGTAGAGTTGCTGTGACTGGGACATTGAGAAGGAGCGCGAACCAAGCGAGTACCATGATGAGACTTCGTAGCGACGACATCGCAAAACCGAGAAACAGAATGAAAGGAAGAGAGAAAGAGAGAGACCAGCCCAGAATACAGAAACAAAAAAATGGTGATGATGAGTAGAAGTTCCTTCAGATCCGAATGTAGAAGGTGATATTCGAGGGCCAGAGCTCAGCCTAAAATCCTGTCGGCCAAGACCTGCTCGCTCCCGGTTTCAGGGTACAGCTTACGGTTTCACTTACTTCCAGTAAAGTCGTCTGATCTCATAGACACGCGGACTTACAGCAAAGACTTGGTGGACTTTCCAATATAGAGTGAGCCCCGCATTGGTAGACCCTCTGAGCTATGGTATTTATTAGACGAACATAATCTTCAAAGCAATTGCATGAAACATGAGCAGATATGAGGCATGACTAGTCGTAGTCTTGAAACGACAAAATAGCCATCTAGTAAATGGGTTATGTGTTAGGACAGCTTATGTTTAGAAAGCTGGTGCCTGTTGATTAAAATTACTTCCTCGCTCGCTTTTTTTCAGCGAACTGGAGGTGCTTTGAGACCCCATTATCAGAAAATCCAAGATTCAAGACGACGAGCCCGAGTTGCTTAATACCACTTCTCTCATTTCTCAAAGAGGCGATAGATTATGTAGAACAAGAAAATCTCTAGTATTGCTCGGTTCCTGGGCCATCCCTCATAACCACAAACATTAGGCGAGAAGCAATACCACAGTGTCCGTGTCGTTTACATAGCAAAGGCTTCCAACTCCATAGTTCGATTATGAAACCGCCCTTCCCTTTGTAAAGAGTGATAGCGACCAGAACCAATAGTATCCTCCAAAGAGATCTTCTCTTTGAAGGTCTTTTAATGGAAGTCTCGAGACAATGCTCAAAAGTACTCAAGAACAAACCAGGAACTAAGGTCATTATATATAAATGAAAGGAAAGAAGCAAGACCATTGTCTCACACAACACCAAACAAAACAAACCACAACACACACCAAAGAAACCCAAAGAACAATGCACCCTCCCCCTTTAAACACCCCCAACTCCCCCTTATATATCCTCATTCTCTTCCAATGTCCCCTCCCACAAACAACCCGTCAACACCACTCAAAACCACACCATGTACACAACCACGTTTCTCAACATCCCAACCTACCTCATCCTCAGCGCCGCAGCCCTGAGTGCAGCAGTCCCCCAACGCTTCGCGCCCTCTCTGCGGGCGCGTCACGAACTAGATGACGGCAATGGTAACAGTACAACCCCCCTTCCATCCCCTACCACCTACCCCTTCACAAACCACTCCAAGCCGCTGTTTGTAAATGGTACTAACAACTGTGCAAGGGGCTTCGCCAAAGACGGTAACGGTCTTCGCTCCTACGCCTGTGGTTACTGTTACGGTCATCCCATCCAGCAGCAAGCCAGCTAGTGATTCGAGTCGTGTTCGTGTTACTACTCAGGTAGTCACTGTAACAGTGACGCCGAGTAGCGGCATGGCTCAAAGTAGTGGATCTAGTAGCGTTCGTGTTTCTTCGGGCCAGAGTAGCAGTAATGCTCAAAGAAGTGGTCCAAGTAGCGTTCGAATGTCTTCTACCCAGAGCATATCAAGTAAAGTTAGTAGCGCTTCGAGTACACCTACTCCCAGCGCTATAACCCTAAGCTCCATAACCACCATCCGCCCACCCCCAGTAACCGCAACAAGCACCTTTTCCGTACCGCGAAGAACCACATCCCCCACGCCCTTCTCGCTCGCATCCCAAACAGCCTCCTCATCCCCATCCTCCGCTACCGCAAGTGCACCCACACGAAGCGAGGACCCCGAGAAGCTCAAAGAGATCCAGCAAGGAAGCGACAAGGTCCTCATCCTCGTCGTCGCCCTTGTTGTTTCCGTCCTGTTGATTCTGGGGTTGGCGATTAGCTTCTACCGTGGCTTCTATCTTCCGCGAAAAGAGAAGAGGAAGCAAGCGATGTGGAAGGGGATGAAGCCTTTGAGGTTACAACCGGGTCCTACGCCGGGCACGCCTAGGGCGATGGTTTGAATGAATGACCAGGTAGGTCTGTTCGAACCATTCTTGTCTTTTTTTCCTTTGTCTTTAAATTTGATTTTTTTTGTACCCTATATATACCCCTGTACTTTTTTCTCTGTTTTTTTATGATGTATGATGATGATGATGATTAATAATATTGATGATGGAATTCATGGTTGGATGGAATGGAAACGAAATGTTTAGATGACTCAAAACAATATATGCTCTCAAGTGATTTATGATATAAAGTGAGCTTAAAACTCGAAATCGGACTTACCCAAAGTACTCTTCCATCCTATTCATTTCTTTTCCCTTGGGACTGCCGAATTCGACACCTAGAACTACTGAGATTCGAGATATGATTGGATTTGACATAGGTCAGAAAAAAATAGATACAATCCTACAATGAAGTAGCAACACAAACCTTCTGGGTTGATATATGAAGAGTATGTGTACCGGTGGCTTGACGAAAGTCTTCGATTTTCATTCCTCGAGGATGGCAACTGGACAGTACTCAGAACGGTATTTGACTTTGTAATGTTCTCCATTCTCGTAAACGCCAATATGCACACCCCTCCATCTCATCCACGCCCAATTGTCCCACACATGCCCGATTCAATCACTCTTCGTCGTCATATCCCTTAAGCTGCTTTCTTGGGCCAGAAGGAACTGTAGAATTCTCACATTAGTGAATCTCTCCCGAGTATGGCCATCATGACGTTGACGCAGGGGACGCACTTGGATAGGTCATTGGAATCTGTGGTCTTGGACCGTCACCAAATCTGAGTCGTAGAGGTGGGGCAGCGAGCATGACGACTGGACCCAAAGACCCAATGACTATCGAGTAGAAAATGGCAGGCTTTGCGACATGTGCCCATCGTAGGTAGCGCAACGGCTGCGAGAAGAATTGGGGTCTGGCGGACATAATGGATGAATTTAGCTGGTGAGAAGGGGTTAGCTAGCGTCCGCAGGCAATACAAAGAGTTAACTAACCCAATTGCCAAGGTTACCAGAGAATCCGTCTTCAAGTATTTTCTGGTGTTGTAGATTGGTGCGCGACTCTGAAGTTCCGGGTCAAGGTCGTCGTCGTGGAAGCTTCGGGCGGATCAACCATGTCCGATGCCCGATGCCGATTACAGGTCTTGGCAATTGCATACGTTTCCTAAAGCTCTAGGCCACAGCTTTCAGCGTAGCGTCGACGTTCAAGTAACAACACAAAACACCACAACGACTATGAGGTGGATTCTTTCTTTTCTGCTGCTGGCATTTCTGGCCACTGTGCAGGCCGTGAGCTCTGCTGGGTATAAATTGCTGGTGGTGCTGGAGGAATTGGCAGACAAGTCCAAATACTCAAAGTACCTGGGGGACCTGGAAGGTAAGTTCAAGAAACAGCTTATGTGAAGCTTTTTTTTTTGCTGGCAGATTTTCAATTCTAATATGGGGCAACTACAGCTAGAGGCTTCTCGATATCCTACGAATCACCAAAGAGCGACAAAGTTGCGCTTTTCACATTGGGCGAGAGGGCTTGGGATCATGTACTCATTCTCCCACCAAAGGCGAAGGGACTGGGGCCACTATTGACACCAAAACTCCTCCTCGACTTTATCAATGCCGGTGGAAACATCCTCGTAGCACTGTCTGCATCACAGCCCACTCCATCGGGGCTGATATCTCTCCTCCTCGAACTCGATATCCATATTCCCACCGATCGTTCTGCTCTCGTGATTGACCACTTCAACTACGACACCTTGAGCGCAGCAGAAAAACACGACGTCGTTCTCGTTCCCCGACCGGATGCGATCCGACCAGATGTTAAGAACTTCTTCAAGGGCGATGGCAAGGGTGGAGAGGCAATTGCATTCCCCCGCCCTGTTGCACAAACTCTTGGAAATGCCAGTCCTCTCTTGACTCCTCTTATTCGAGCACCACGATCCGCATACTCATATAGTCCCAAGGATGATGTTGACAGTGTCGAGGATCCATTCGCGGTTGGACAACAATTGTCCTTGATTACCACCATGCAAGCCAGAAACTCCGCACGTTTTACTGTTGTTGGTTCTTCCGAGCTGCTCGAGGACACTTGGTTTGATGCCAAGGTTAAGCGCAGCGTGGGAATGAACGGTGCTCCAGCTGGGAACGAGTTCAAAACATCCAACCAAGCTTTCGCGAAGGAGGTTACGGGATGGACATTCAAGGAGACTGGAGTTTTAAAGGTTGGCCAAATCGAACACCACCTCAACGAGACGGGATCCGAAATTGTGTCCAATCCAAAGATTTACCGAGTAAAGAACAATGTTGTAAGTTGAACTTTTGCAGATGAAACTTAACAACCGCTAATATTACTCTAGTCATACTCAATCGAGCTCTCCGAGTACTCTTGGGATAAATGGATTCCTTTCACCCCACCAACCGGCGACATCGTCCAACTCGAATTCTCCATGCTCTCACCATTTCACCGTTTACCCCTCAAAGTCGCAGAGACCACCCTCACCTCTACCATCTACACAACCAGCTTCAAGCTGCCAGACCAACACGGAATCTTCAATTTCAAGGTCAACTACAAACGACCATTCTACACCAACGTCGAGGAGAAGAACACCGTTACCGTTCGTCATTTTGCACACGATGAGTGGCCAAGGAGTTGGGTCATCACTGGTGCTTGGCCATGGATTGCGGGTATTGGAGCTACTGTCACTGGATGGGTGGCTTTTGTTGGGCTATGGTTGTGGAGTAAACCCGTTCCACTGAAGGGAGCCAAGGGCGGAAAGAAAAACCTGTAATGTTGAAATGAAAGGATAGGTTTTCGGAGGTTCGGTTTTTTCGTATGATAAAAAGGAAAAACGCGTATAGGGCATAGATGGCAATGACATCATATTTTTGGGTTCTCTCCTTTATTTATCTAGACGATAGGAGGATATTGAGAGTGAAGAATTATAGTAGTACCAAAATCTATCTTTTTGTTTTTTTCAGGGTTTGTTGTTTATGTATCTCTGTGGGAGGATGTTTTGAAAAGCAGGTGTATTGTAAGGGTTACCTAGTCCTTCTATCCATTTTCTTCTTACCATGAGTGGGGCGTGAATCATGTTACAGGGATTTAGTCAAATGTGGTAATTCACTATGTAGCGGACAGGGTTCCTGGAATTTTTGAGGTGAGAGGAGTTGGTTGTGAAAAGAGGTTTTTGGGTGGAGGAGTTGTTTAAATGGGGTTTCTGGATAGTTTTTGGGGGGGTCTTTTTAGTTGTTTTGGAAGAGGGGTTGTTGAGTTATGGAGGGACTTGAGTAGGTGTTCTTTTTTTGTTGGGGTTAGCTGTGTGCTTGTTTGTTGATTTCTCGCTTGTTAAGGGAGGTAAGGTAAGGTAAAGTGTCTAATTGTCACGAATCACGTGTTAGCATGTGACGAGTTAGTCCAGACAGCGTTCTGACAGGACAGATACATCCAGAGTAGTTATATCATAGCAGTGGTTACTCAGGGTTGTTGAGTATCCAAGGATTTCTTAGCATTCATAGTCACGTGATAAAAGCGCGACAGCGCGATAAGCGAATTGTCGCGCGCGACAGCACGACGAGCGCGCTGTCGACATTTGGGATTTGGAGAACGAAGGTTCTATATAAGACTGGCATGTCTGCCATTAGATAGAAGCTTCGTGCTCAACTTAGTTATCAATCTTATCATATTAGTTTGACATCTTTGATACAAGTAANAGCACGACGAGCGCGCTGTCGACATTTGGGATTTGGAGAACGAAGGTTCTATATAAGACTGGCATGTCTGCCATTAGATAGAAGCTTCGTGCTCAACTTAGTTATCAATCTTATCATATTAGTTTGACATCTTTGATACAAGTAACGAGTTCACTTCCAAGTGAACAACCCGATAGTCTTCTTCTTATCATAGCATACCAACCAGCGAACACCCAGCCAAGTTTAGTTAGCCAGTTTGAGTATTCGTTACACTAATCTTGGAGGGCGTTGAGATAGTTGTGGTGATTGTTGCTTGGTTCTTCAACTTCCAGTTTCTATCATGGCACGCGGTAGACAAAATAAGCGGGACTTTTTTGTCCGTACGTTTTTATAACACTATTATTTAGTACGTTATAAGTTAGTAAAATTAAGTAAATAAAGCTATAACAACCTCTTTTATATATGTTTAAAACATAAATCTAAGCCTTATTCAAAGTTCTTAATTATATAATACCTATAAATCCTTATTAAAAAGAAGCTTTAGCTAAAAAGAGTAGAAACTAGTATAATAGCCCTCGAAACCCTCTTATACTACCTAAAAAGAAAGACCCTTTTAAAAGTATAATCCGGGGTACAAAGTATAAAAACGAGTACTATAACTATAGCGATATACTACGTGTGACGGAGCTGGATTTCATTTGACAGGATTTCATTCGCTTGGCCAAGCACGTGACGAGACTTGGCATTGGAACAACTTAAATAACTTCGCTCCTTTCAGATTCTCTTCTTTCTTTAGTTTGATTTCTTCGTACCTACGGTTTTAGTTCTAGCAATTGATTCAAAAGCTGTATACACTTTATCCTTTGTTGGCATCCGTGACACTACGTAAAGCCTAGGTTTTATCTATTATTAAAGTAGGAGGACTTAAAGCTATTTAAATAGCGCGCGAAACAAGAGGATATATTTAAGTTTTATAGTATTTCTTAGACTCGAGGCTTTAAAATTATTTAAGAAAAGGTGTGACGACACGTACGCAAGGCCCACGGTGTAGGTTGTGGAATCGTAGAACTGTCAATTAAACAAAGATTCTAAGCTGAGGAGAAGAGGAGAGCTCGAGAGAGCTTCGATCTAAATACTTGGTGTGGGTCGCTAAGCGAGACCACGTGATCCGAATGGTGGTGACGGTTAGAACCGTCACAAAAGGAAAGAGAGTTACTACTATTAGCTTATATATTCTATAATAATCTATATAAAGAAGAGACTCGAGGTTCGAAGAGTTAACTTATAAAGGAATATTTAAAGAAGCTTAAAAAGATTATTACGTCTAATAGTTTTAATAAGTATATAATTGTCAAGGGTTGCACCCGTGGAGTGAGTCTTGGAGTGCTCCAGCGACATGTGCACGTGACCTCTAAGCAGACTTGGTGGAACCTTCTAGAGTATTGGTAAATGACACGTAGCCAGTTCTGTGGTATATAGAGAGGGCTGGGAAGCTGCTTTGGGAAGGACAATCGAATCTTCTTGTACATAGACAACCTCTGTAGTTCAATTCATCAGCATTTGCTACAAGTCCTGACAATAATAACTTAGAACTTCCTGACACGAGAACTCTTATATCATGCCAAGAGTGAGCATACCATGAATTCATGGGTGCTGTTCAGCGGACCCTATGGGAAGAGTGTTCCTATGGAAGACTGTGAGAACATTCTCATGGTAGCTAGTGGCTTTGGAATTGCAGCACATTTGCCTTACCTAAAGCAGCTCATTCATGGTTATAACGCCCGAAGGTCCGCGCTCGTCGGATTCATCTAGTATGGCAGGTTCGTGACATCGGTAAGTCATGTCCCCTCTTATTTCCTTGTAAGCAGAGACCTAACAGAGGTAGATGTCACAATCGCGGCCCAGTCGCTCCTGAACGGTGCATTAAGCGAGGATACGCTGGATGATGGTTTCGTATGTAGCGCCAAAGCTGTGATGTACTTATCCTACTAACAGAGGAAAACAGATCCTGACCATTTCAATATACTGCGAATCAAGCGACGCTACAACATCCTTTGGAAAACGTGCAAAGGTTTATCCAGGCAAAGCTCTATTGCAAGATATCTCCCAAAAGGAAGTCACAGGAGAGTACATTGAGAAGAAGCTAGTAGACAATATTGAATGGGATACAAAGACACCCGTGGAGGGAGATGTTGAGTCTAGGAGACAGGCTAGGAGAGCTGGTCAATTACTTGTCACTAGTAAGTTGTCTGGTATTTTATTCTTGCTGTGCTAACTAGTAAAAAGTCTCCAGTACCGACAGTATCCGAGATGAGCTACGATGCGTCGTACGCGACCATCTCACCGATGGAGTTAGCTATTTCGAACTTGATTATCAACCTTCGCAAGAGTGAATCAAGGATATAGTTGCATTTCTTGAAACATCGCTGGATCTTTACCTCTCTGGACCCTTCTTTTCTTTTAGATAGAACATAGTTTTAAATTTAAAATATATATCTCCGCACTTTTTTTCTTCCAACATCTTGCATGCTATTATAAAAGTTCGAAGACGGTAGAGTCCTAACAGCACTCCGCGACTCCTCGACAGCTCCGTGACTCCGCTCTCTTTTTCCCCAAAAACCCTCTCGCCACTCTCTATTTTCTGCACCACAAACTAAAAATTTCTCCCCTTGAGAGGTTCTTTAAACTCGACACGGTAGCTGTCACGAGTCACAATTTTCGAGGTGGCTTTAAACGCTACAAGAACATCCACAGCAAAGCCAAGAATCTCTCGCATCTCCTTTTAGAGTTTGTAAATCATTACCAATGCTAAAACATTACACACTAGATGACCACTAGGAAGAAGTGCTGCCCATTCAATATGCTGAGTGATAATAAAATGAGTGTTCGCATTGTAGCCTCTATCCTTGTGTAAAGCAGCATCGGCCATAATTATTCTCTTGGTACGCTCAGCTATCAAAGACCGTCGTTGCTAAATGACTTGGGACGTTCGTGACTTTGCAAATATGTCGAAAAGTGCGTCAAACTCACTTCTATCATTGTCCATGTCGTGATTGTGATATATGACGCGCTGGTAACTTTGTTAGATTGGCATCAACTCGGTCACAGCCGTTCACGCGGTCAAAATACCCTTGTACAAGAATCGCCTTGTGCTAAAACCATTGTGTGCCAGAATCGAGCCCTTGTAGCCAGAATCCCCTTGTGCTGGAATTCCTTGTGCCAAAATCCCTCGTGCCAAAATCCCTCGTGCCAAAATCTCTCGTGCCAGAATCCCCTTGTGCCGGAATTTCTTGTGCCAAAATCATTGTGTGCCAAGTTCCTATTGTGGCCCCTGTTGTTGCCAGATTCGCTGCAACGTAAGGTTAGGTCTTGGCGTTCCTTGCCCAAAATCCCTTGCACACAGAAACCCCTCCCCCCTTCCCTTTCTCCCAAACACCTTCGCGATGGCTAACGACCTTCCGATAGAACATTCGATTCAACTGGTCTTCCGATCCTGGATACATGCAACAAATGTTCTTGTCGATAGTGGATGCTCCGCGCACCTGCTCAAGGTACTGTCTAAAGTTTGTGCCGGTCATCAGGTCGATCCATCTTACGTTGATAGTATCGAAAGCTATCTTCTTGTAACCTCCACTGATCAGCCATCAATAAATGGAGACGAGCTTGTTGGTTTGACTGATATTTCCTCAAAAACATCTACAACTAATTATTTGAACTCACCATTCACAAAAGGCACGGCAGCTACAGTTCCAAACGATGCAACCCAGGTTGACCTCGACAATGAGGATGAAGATGAGAGTGATGAAGACGACAAATCTGATCTAGATAATCTGTTCGCAGTTTCGCCTCTCTTTGTGTCTGCGTGTGCCAGTCTTTCACAATACCGGAACCCAGCGCCTCCGCTAGCCACTGAAGAGCGCACCCTTAACTCCCAAACTTGCCCGGTGGTTAGTCCAGACGCTCTTGCACTTGTAGTCACTCAGCAGAGCTCTTGGAATCGGAAAGAGAACGACAACGGTCTTCCTCTAGGTCAACATCCAAACGGTATTCGAGGTGAGCTCCAAGGTTTCGATTCGGGCAGATAACTAACAGTTTCATTCTACAGAAGCCTCCCTTTCCTCAAAGTCGTCGCGGATGAACACGCAAGAACCACAAGTAACACGTCGAGAAGAATCCATCAGGGAATCAGGAGGATCTTCAATCCCTCTAGACATATTACCCACGATCCAGAGAATTGCTGGTCCCGAAATCATTTCAACATTGTGGCACTACCTCCAGAAGCAGAGAACTTCGCCAACAGGAATGTATGTGGCCGGCAAACATGAGCCTACAGAGCTAGGAGACATAGCCGAGGGTAGGATAGAGAAGCTATTGTCCATATACCAGCTGGCGTTCAATGCGCTCTCCTCTGATTGTTCTTACTTCCCAGAGCTTCCTCGTCGATTATATCTAGCCAATATCTATATCCTTTACAGGCAGGAGACCGTGATTCGAAGGCAACTTTCACGCCAGAGGAAGAGGCGAAAATCAACAGACGGTATCAAATTCGCCAAAAAGTCTTTAAATGATATCTTTATTGATTTGCTCCTCCCTCAGTTGCAAGGGGAAAAGAGCACACGTCAAAATGCCAAGAAAAGGTTTGAAAATTGGATGGCATTAGGAAGGATATGCGCAAAACTAGTAGAATCCTTTGGGGCAGGTATCTTCCTCCTACCGCGGGACCTGTCGAATGAGATGTAAGTTGTAAAAAGCAGGCCCAGCTTCCATTGAACAGCTGATTTGATCATTATAGACTTCGAGCACTTACATTACGGCAAGAAGATGCCATTATAACGTATATACACCATGTCTACCCAGGTTTGAAGTCTGACATTCAACATCTAACAACATTCTTGTTGCACGTTGTTGAAGAACAGCGCCCACCAGACATGAAATTAAAGCTTGAGCTGTTGTCTGAGAACGATATGATATCTTATAAGTGGGTATCGCAGGCGATAAAAGACTTGTTTGACTACTCAGATGAGGTTGACTACACCTCATTTTTAACGGATGAAGCGCTTTCTTCAAGCGCGACTGAGTTACCACATCTATTTACATTTTGAGAACCAGCAAGGAAAATAGTACCATATGCTAGCGTTCACGACCTGTGGAGCAAAGGATCGTTATACAGTACCTATTTCTCGTGGATGCGAAGGGACAGGCGATCTGTGAGAAGATTTCTTTTCGTATTAGTAGAACAGTAATCCATATAAATAGAAACCTATTTTTTTCATACCAGCTTTAATAATTGATGTACCCCTTAACATGCCTCTCGCCTGCAGGATAAATCAAATACACTATAATAAAACGCTAACAATTCCCCACCCAATTTCAAATTCAAAGATACAAAAGACCAACGCTACCTAGAATTATCAATACACTTTCCCGTTGGAATCCATAATCTGGATCTTTTTTGCTATGCACCTTTCATTTACAATTATAGCTGGGAAATTGCTTCTGACACGCTCGGCATGAGCGAGAAGGACCAGCTCCTTTCCCTTGCCATTCAAGTCCTCTGCCTTGCTTTGGCGTTACACAGACCATCTGATTGTACCCTGGCATTTAATTCACACAACGCAATTGCCTGGGACAGTAATGGGCAGATTATGTGACCCCTCAAACTGTCGCCGCTTACGTCTTCGAACTTTGATAGTGTATATCCACTCGTCTAGAAAAATCCACAACCAGAGAAAGCAAAAGCAGACAGATATAAAAGCTATCCTGATCAAAGTGATTGCGCTAAATGCACAGAAAACTGACCACATTGAATAATAATGCGATGATACAACCTGATCGACAGCTAGCTAGACTTGTATTCCATTCAACAAAAAGAACAGGGCCATAGAGCCTCGTGAAATAATCGCTGTACTGGCCATGTATCTGTTCAAGGCGGAACTTGCCGAGAAAAAAAGGAGCGTAGAAGTTTAACCTAGAAAGCCTGAGCTCTCCATAACTATATCGGCCTGAGACGTCGACATCTGTAATATTGTCCAAAGCAGAAACAAAATGACAAAAGTCTGCCCACTGTACGTCTTGGGGAATGAGGCGGAGATGATCTTGTTTTGCGATAATGAAATCAGACTCGTGCTTGATCAAGTATCGATAGCTTCTTAAATAGCCCAATACAGCACTTCGAATGGTATGTCGGTGCTCGCCTAGGCTCACAGATGAATCGACGAGGAACATTTCCCAGAATGTCCATGAGAGAATATATTGGGGTAGAGGCTTGATAAAAATTCGGTCATGGAACTAAACAAGATGTAAACGAGATTCTTCTGTGACAATAATCTCGCGCCCTTTGACTCGCTAGCGATGGAGTAGGTTGATATTACTACTAGAGTAGGTGGACATCACCCAAAGATATAGCGCAAAGGTCTCAAGATCCTACGCCCAGAATTCTTGCGTGAGAAATTCCCTTGTTTAGGGAAGATAGCCAAGCTTTAAACAAGGATGCCCTGGTACCGAGGTATTTGTCGGTGCCCCACCCTCCGTCGAGAGTTCAGTGCACAGTTGCTAGTGAATGGAGAATGGAGGTACCTCGAGGATAGGTGCCATTATAGCTGAGCAGCATAGCTAATGAGCTGAGAGTGTTGGAAGAGTGTCATTTCGTGAAGATATATCCTCTGCCAACAAGGCCGAATTGATAGGCGAATAAGTGGCTGACAAAATTTATTCCAGGCTGCGGCTGAGCTTACAGGTCGCAACTTGCAAATGCTCCAGCCTTATGTCTCAATCAACCCCTCATTCAATCCATTATTTCCATCATATTATGATCATCACGGATCGCTTGTCCGTATCATTGAGGTCCCATTGTATTAGCATCACAACTACTATTAATTTCTGCCATGGTATACTCCTAGGCTGATACTACCCACAAAAGATGCTAATAAAACAGGTTCGCCCCATAACTGACGAAGACACGGGCCTAAGGGTCCTCCACGAACCAGCAGTGGAGACAACTGGAAACCAAGCACCTGTTATCGAGTACGCACCCTCTATCCTCACCTGAAACTTCCTATTCTCTCTAACGCGTTTAAGCATTGTCGCGATCCATGGCATCGGTGCCCATCCCGTCGATACTTGGTGTAAAAGGGTCGGCACAGGCGAAACGTCGCACTACGTCAACTGGCTCGAGAAAGAAGACATGCTGCCATCAGTAGTACCGAATGCTCGGATAATGCGATATGGATATATGTCCCGGTGGTATGGGGATGAGGCTATTCGCCAGAAGACAACCGCTGTTGCAAACCGTCTACTTGGATCTTTGAAACGCACAAGAAAGGCAAGCTGTTATATTGCCTTATTTAATTCAAAGTACTAATTTTGTTTCTAGGGCACTGCTCTCCAATCGCGGCCTCTCATTTTCGTCGCTCACTGTTTTGGTGGACTGGCCATTTTACAGGTGTGAACGCTGAACTTGTATAAAAGAACGACTAGCTAAACATGATAGGCACTTCTTAACGCGGAACGTTTTCCTGAAGAATGGCCTGGGATATATTCTTCCACTTACGGCGTAGTGTTTCTTGGTACCCCTTTTAGAGGGGCCCCTGGATTAACACTGAACGAACTTCTTAAGGCGGTAAATGCGGAGCACCTAGATACAATCCAAGGAGAAATCTTACGGATACTTGATCCTGATGATGAATCGCTGCTTGAGATGGTACATGTCTTTGAGAAGGTTCAGGCTAGGTCACTACAGAGAGCCAAGATTACGTGTTTTTTTTGAACAGAAGCCATGTAATGTTAAGGCTATCTTGGGAAAAGAGGGGAAGAAGGTATGTTATACCTAAACCTGGGGAAGCTCTAAGGCTAATTAGGATAGTCATTTGCAGTTTCGGAAGGCTCTGGCTGCCTCGGCTCAGCGCAGAAAATCGGTCTCCAACGGAATCATTTCGACATGAACAAATTTGGGAAGCCTACAGACGAGGAGTATCTGACAGTATGTGATGCTATAACTGATATCGTGGATGCTATCCCTACTATGGTCTCAGCTCAGCCTCAGTGTAAGTTGTCCTTGCCATCTAAATATAATTAATATCTAATTGATACATAGCCGAGCAACCGCCTTATCGTGGAGGTAAAGATAGCCTTATATTTGATAGCAAGCTTGAACAGCAAGATCTTAGTAAGACTCTCTATATATATCCTTTGATTAGATTATCTCTAATATTGCGTGAAGCATGCCTTCGGTCTCTAGCTTTCTTAGAAATGGACTATCGACGACACGATACGCAACGAGCTCATGCAAATACATGTGGCTGGATTACTAGTGATATCTCGTACACTACCTGGCTTAAGGAAGGCTCTGGAATTCTCTGGATCAAGGGCAAGCCTGGATCGGGGAAATCTACATTAATGGAATTTCTCCTTCAGCATTTCAAGAAGCAACCTCTCTGCCAGGAATCCATTCAACTTTCGTTCTTCTTACATGGTCGGGGTACTATGTTACAGAAAAGTCGCCTTGGAATGTATCGGTCTCTCTTACATCAGTTGCTACGAACGGTACCCACTGCTCAAGCTGAATTTCGCCACGCTTTTCAAGAGAGGTCTAGGAGTCAAGGAGATCCTGGAAAGGACTGGAACTGGCATACCAATGAGCTCCGTGCCTTCTTCATGAACGCTGTTGAGTATGTTGCAAAAAAACATCCAGTCAATATATTTGTCGACGCATTGGACGAGGCGAACGATGGTACCAGCGATCAAAAGACAAGTCATCAAATTGTTTCGGATTTCCACAAACTAAACGACCTTCTATATTGCCAAAAGCTCCGCTCCACAATTTGCTTCTCATGCCGCCACTTTCCTATTGTAGCTGATAATCAAGGACGTGATATCTATGTTGAAAACGAAAATCATAAAGACATCTCACATTACGTTTACGATGAGCTTCAGAGAAGACTTTCTGTGAGTGAAACTGAGAAACAATACTTGGTAGAACTACAAAATACCATTGTCGAAAGAGCACAAGGAGTATTTCAATGGGCCACACTTGCGGTTGGTTTAGCGGTTCAACATCACAATAATGGTATACCACCAGATGAGATAAGCTATATGTTAGCAAAGGTTCCTGAAGAGCTAGGTGGTGTCTATAGACATATCCTAAGCGAGGTCATCGACAAGAACAGTCACAGGCAAACTCTACGTCTTATGAGATGTGTATATCTCGCGGAACGACCTTTGACAGTAACTGAGATTTGTTTCGCTATGTATCTACCAGATACCGAGGTACTTAGCGCAGAGCTTTCTCTTACAAACCTATCATTGCCCACGCATAATGTGATGGAGNGTTGGTTTAGCGGTTCAACATCACAATAATGGTATACCACCAGATGAGATAAGCTATATGTTAGCAAAGGTTCCTGAAGAGCTAGGTGGTGTCTATAGACATATCCTAAGCGAGGTCATCGACAAGAACAGTCACAGGCAAACTCTACGTCTTATGAGATGTGTATATCTCGCGGAACGATCTTTGACAGTAACTGAGATTTGTTTCGCTATGTATCTACCAGATACCGAGGTACTTAGCGCAGAGCTTTCTCTTACAAACCTATCATTGCCCACGCATAATGTGATGGAGTGTGAGAGGCCGGACCTTGAACAGCTCAAAGGTGTGGTTTCGAATATTGAATTAAGAAGTGCGTGAAGACTACATACATCCGAGCTCTTCCTCTATATATAGAGAGAGGAAGAGCTTCCTGAATATTCCAAGAAACTTGCAAGAAACTTGAATGACGAATACATGATGTCAGAAGAACAAAACAAGAAAGTGTGGAATGGTGGAAACCTGTTTGGCGGTGGGGTAATGGCCAGTGCTAGGCGGGGACTTTGGTCAGTGCTTAGCGAGGGCATGGCCCGAGCCTCCATCATGGGTTCCAACCCTCACATGGAGCGACAAATTACTAGCCTGTCCGGGGGCCTGATTGAGCTAAGACAGCATGAGAAGGATCAGATAACACAGTTTATTCACCAATCTGTGAAGGATTTCATTTTTCAAGATGGACTCCAATTGCTCGACAAGATGGATTCTCAAGACCTGATCGGACAAGGTCACTATCAGTTGTCACTTGTTTGTGGAAACTACATAAAAATGAGTGAAATGGATAAGACAAGCAGTATCGATGCTGTTTCTATAAAAGGTCGACTTCCTTTTGTAGATTATACTACAAAATCTTGGTTCCTCCATGCTGAAAAAGCCGACACACGAGGGATTTCACAAGATTACCTCCTTCGTTACAGCCAATACTATCCAAAGCTAATTAAGCGTTGGGTAAATTACTATCAAATCCTTGATAGATATAATTCTTCTGAACGCCGGCCTGAGAATGATTCTACCTTGCTCCATATTGCCTCTTCCGCTGGTCTATTAAGTGTTGTAAGGGGTATACTCTTGCAAAATCCCGATATTGAGCAAGTTGATGGCTCAGGAAACCGGGCTCTGCACCATGCATCTCGTTGGGGCCATACAAAGGTTGTTAAAGCTCTACTCGATATAGGCGCAGATTTTGACTGCTGTANATTGAGCAAGTTAATGGCTCAGGAAACCGGGCTCTGCACCATGCATCTCGTTGGGGCCATACAAAGGTTGTTAAAGCTCTACTCGATATAGGCGCAAATTTTGACGCAGAAAATCACAGCGAGTGTACAGCACTCGAGCGAGCAGCAGCTAATGGACATGAAGAGGTAGCTCAGATGCTACTTGCTAAAGGTGCAAATATCAACAAACAAACCGGAAGTACTGGAAATGCCTTATATGGAGCTGCCGCCAAAGGAAGTAAAACTGTAGTACAACTACTCCTTGACAACCAAGCTGAAGTCAACGCTCAAGGCGGGGAGTATGGCAACGCTCTCCAAGCTGCAGCATCTGAACGCCATCAAGCAATTGTGCAGCTGCTCCTTGACAACCAAGCTGAAGTCAACGCTCAAGGCGGGTTTTATGGCAACGCTCTCCAAGCTGCAGCATTTGGGGGCCATCAAGCAACTGTGCAGCTGCTCCTTGACAACCAAGCTGAAGTCAACGCTCAAGGCGGGGCCTATGGCAACGCTCTCCAAGCTGCAGCATCTGGACGCCATCAAGCAATTGTCCAGCTGCTCCTTGAAAATAAAGCAGACTCGAGTTATCTTCATCCAAACTTCGCCGATGGCCATCGCGTGCAAACTCTCTACATTGAAGAGATTGTCACGATGTTACTTAACAGTGCTTCTAAGATAAAATCTTTTCATTCTAATGTCCAAAAAGGTCACGATTCCGCAGTTGCTTCAGCACTAGACAGCGGCATGAAACCCGATGTCCCTGGTGGCTGGTACTTATATGCTTTACATACTGCAGCGAGTCAAGGGAACCTTTCAATTATCGTTTTGTTATTAGCAAAAAGCAATGCCGAGCTCGATATACCAGATTTCGCTGGTCGAACCCCGCTTTGGCTAGCTGCACAATCAGGCCATGTTTCTGTCTTAGACAAACTTTTTGAATCAGGAACAGTAGATATCAATCCTCGAGACCTCGAAGGTAGATCAGCGCTTTGGCAGTCCTCGGCTCGTGGACATCTCAATGCTGTCAAGTGGCTACTAAGTCGGAATGCCAATCATAAGATTCCAGACAACTATGGATTGTCGCCCTTAGAGAAAGCCGAGATTGAAGGTCACAAATCTATTATAGAGGCTATAAGGAGAGCCCCTTGACACGAAAACCGAGACTTCGCACTAATCCTGTTCAAGAACGAAAATCTAGGAGGAGGAAATGTGTACTAATTCAGTGAAGTGGGTTGAAAATGTATATCCCACCGTCGCATGAATTCTACAGCACCAGGTTCAAAGCCCAAATGCTAGACTTGAAATTTGAGCAAGTCTGAAGCGACATTTCAGCTTGTCAAGGTCATAAACATCTGCATCGACGGTCCTGATTCCGTTGTCCGAGGTGGGGCAGGAAATTTTTAGGATGTGGTATAATGTAGTGTTTTTCTAGGCTTGGTTAAGGAAATCAATTGCCAGAATAAGAGGGGGCGATTATGTTAAAGGAGCAGGATCTAATATTGAATAGTGTGCATAGTTTAATTCTTCACCCTTAATAGTTATCTATAACTAGTTTTTCTTCTATTCTAGTGGGCGACACCTTGCTCTCATCCGATGTCCTTTCTAAGCACCATGGCCATTCCAGGCTGTATCCGATGCGCTAACACATATAGTTACAGGTTATGCGACAGACCTGATCAATCTCTCAGCTGGACCTCGTGAGATAGTTCAGTGTGACTTCTCAGCAAGAATGAGTAAGGCAATTCGATCTTTGAGGCTGATATTGCAAACCCGACATTCAACATGATTACCCTTTTCTAGCTTCTTGACGTGCTTCCTCAGAAAGTGCCTACTTAAAGAACCAGGGTTTGCATATGACACAACCCTCTCATGCATTGTTAGATTCGGATTCCCAACGCATAAGAAACACACGGTTGGCTTCTTGTCTGTCTTGATCGAACATACCGCCTCGTGTAATATACTATCCGATGCTAATGCTGCTACTTTCGTGCAAAGTGAGCCGGCATTTCTGTCTTGTATGCTGTAGAATCGCGTTCCAGGCGTAGAGGCAAAGAGAGGGCTGGTATTGTATCTGTAGGTGATTCGTAAATTGTCCTTGGACCTGTATCTACAGCGGTTCTTCCCTGCCCATAGCGAGCCCTTCTCAAGAGTGTCCTCCTACGTTCACCGTCCCTTTCAAGTCGGGCGGAAGCTAGATGAGCAGCACCAGAGCCTGCCGACAATTCGTGACCAGAACAGTTATACACTCGGATGTATAGGAGAGCATAACATTGTTATCGCGGTTATCTGCT